TTTTGCCAAAACTACAACGTGTCATTTAATAAGCTTTATAAATGCTTCTTTGCATACTTCTGAACTTCGGACGGAGCAAAGCTAGCTGTTTCCCCATCCTTCCAGTTGTTATGCTAAAATAAGCTAATCTAGCTCCATATTTAATGCATAGACATAAGAGGTATATAAATTCTCATCTAATTCTCTGCAAGAAAGACAAAAATGTCAAACTATTTATAACTGAGGCAGGATCTGCATGCAGTCCCTTTGCACTTTGAACTGGACAAGGACGAATACTCTGCCAATCAGAAACCAGTACTTTCAGTTGCCGCCCTGTAGGCAGACTTCATTCAGTAAATAGCCTTTTAAAATGCATATTTAAAATAATCATTAAGAACATTACCCTAAACATTATGCAACTGATGACAACTGGATTATCTACAGTAAAAAGCAGATGTATATAGGAGTGAGTGTTGAGGCTAACCTTCCATGTCCCCAGACCCAAAACTGGCATTCGTGTGCCATCGTTCAGCTCTATGGTCCTGGCCACCTGTTTGTCCTCCGTGGAGTTCATTTAATCACTGTAGCAGAAAAACAAAATGAGAACCTCAACACGTTCTAGTACACTATCAGAGCGTTCCTCTTCCTCTTTTTCACCTTGAACCGGCACTGCTGAGTCAACGTCCTTTTTCTGTTTTTCTGCTGAGTTCACTTCTCTGTCTCATGTGTTCCTGTCTCTCTCTCTCTCTCTCTCTCTCTGTCTCTCTCTCTCCTTCACCTCTCGCTATGTCTTTGGCTTTCCTCTTCCTGCCTTATCAGTGCAGTGGTTAATTATTGGACAACACACAAAGTACTTCACCACCACCAAGTATTTATGTGTACACTCAGTTAGTGAGGAGGAGCATGTTGCAAAGGTCACTCTTCTCATAGGGGCACACACACACACACACACACACACACACACACACACACACACACACACACACACACACACACACACACACACACACACACACACACACACACAGTAAAGGTCACATTGTGAGAAAAGTCTGCTGTAATATTACCAGTCCAGCATTAGATGGTGTTATTGTATCGCGGTACTGTGCAGCTACAGTACAAATGCTGTAGGTTTATAGGAAAAAAGTTTTAATTTACTGAGTCCTTGCTGCAGTGGCCCAGGGTTCGAATCTGACCTGCGGCCCTTTGCTGCGTGTCATCCCCTCTCTCTGCCCCCCTTTCCTGTCTATCTTAAGCTGTCACTATCAAGTAAAGGCAATAAAAGCCCCCCCCCCAAATTTTCCTAAATCAGATTTTTTTATTGTGCACTCATAGGAATATCCATAAAAGTGTTGGTTTATGCATTTTAATAATGCTAATTTATAATATATACATTACATATTTATCTGTAAAGTAATTAATGTCATCATGTTGAAAAGTAAAACTATCATCAAACAACCATCCAAACTGTATTTCACAGGAACTGTATTTCATTATTGGAACAGTTATGAGTGATGTGGTCATTTGTATCAAAAAAAAACAACCTCCCTCTCGCTTGAGGATGACACAGATACCACCCCAAGAGGGTGGTATCTGTGTCATCCTCAAGCTCGGGTCCTCTACCAGAGGCCTGGGAGTTTGGGGGTTCTGCGCAGTATCTTAGCTGTTCCTAGGACTGCGCTCTTCTGGACTGAGGCTTCTGATGTTGTTCCTGGGATCTGTTGGAGCCACTCCCCCAGTTTGGGGGTCACTGCCCCGAGTGCTCCTACTACCACGGGGACCCCGCTCGCCTTGACCTTCCACATCTGCTCCAGCTGCACTTTCAACCCTTGGTACTTTTCAACCTTTTCGTGTTCCTTCTTTCTGATGTTGGCGTCTGCTGGTATGGCCACATCTATCACCACCGCCTTCTTCTGCTCCTTGTCTACCACCACTATGTCCGGTTGGTTGGCCAGGACCTGTTTGTCAGTCTGGAAGCTGAAGTCCCACAGCACCTTGGCCCTGTTGTTCTCAGCCATCTTCTGTGGTGCGGCCCATTGGGATTTGGGTACTTCTATTCCATACTGGGTACAGATGTTCCTGTACACTATTCCAGCCATTTGGTTGTGTCTCTCTATGTACGCTGACCCGGCTAGCATCTTACACCCTGCTACTATGTGCTGGACTGTCTCAGGGGCATCTTTGCATAGTCTGCACCTTGGGTCAGATCTACTCTTAGATCTTGGCCTCTATGGCTCTTGTACCTAGGGCCTGTTGTTGTGCTGCCATGATCAGTGCCTCTGTGCTCCAGCCTTTTCCAGCCATTGTCTTCTCGATATCAGCCACTTCTTCAATTTTGGGGTGGTACGTGCCATGTAGGGGCTTGTCCCTCCAGGTTGTCTGCTCCTCTTCCTCTGCACTCTTATCGGGTTTCTGTTGCCTGAGACATTCACTTAGCAGTTCATCCTTTGTGGCCATTTTTCTGATGTACTCTTGGATTTTTGACGTTTCATCCTGGATAGTGGCCTTGATGCTCACTAGTCTTCGGCCTCCCTCTTTCCGCTTAGCGTACAGTCTCAGGGTGCTGGATTGGGGGTGAAACCCTCCGTGCATGCTTTCTTGTCTTGATATCTGTAGCTTTTATCTCCTCCTTTGGCCAGCTTATGATCCCAGCTGGGTATCTGATGACTGGTAGTGCGTACATGTTGATGGCTTGGATCTTGTTCCTACCATTCAGCCGACTTTTCAGGACCTGCCTTACTCTTTGGAGGTATTTGGTTGTGGTTGATTTCCTTGCGGCTTCCTCATGGTTTCTATTAGGCTGTGGGATACCAAGGTATTTGTAGCTGTCTTGGATATCACCTATGTTGCCCTCTGGTAGGTCAACCCCTTCAGTTCTGATCATCTTGCCTCTCTTTGAGACCATCCGGCCACACTTGTCCAATCCGAATGACATCCCTATGTCGTTGTTGTAGATACTGGTGGTGTGGATCAGTGAGTCGATTTCTTGCTCATTCCTAGCGTACAGCTTGATGTCATCCATGTAGAGCAGGTGGCTAATTGTTGCTCCACTTCGGAATTGGTACCCTTAACCACTCTTTGTGATGATCTGACTGAGGGGGTTCAGGCCTATGCAGAAGAGCAGTGGTGATAGCGCATCTCCTTGGTATATGCCGCATTTGATGTTGACTTGGGCAATTGGCTTTGGGTCGGCTTCTGGGTTGTCCTCCACATTCACATCGAGTTCTGGATGAAGGCCCTTAGGTTCCTGTTGATCTTATACAGTTCCAGACATTCCAGTATCCACGTGTGGGGCATTGAGTCGTAAGCTTTCTTGTAGTCGATCCAGGCGGTGCACAGGTTGGTCTTCCTGCTCTTACAGTCTTGGGTGACTGCTCTATCAACCAGTAGCTGGTGCTTGGCTCCTCTGGTGTTGCTACCAATTCCCTTCTGAGCCCCGCTCATGTATTGAGCTACGTGCTTACTCATCTTAGCCGCGATGATGCCTGACAGGGCCTTCCATGTTGTGGAGAGGTTATTGGCCGGTAGTTGGATGGGATGGGTCCCTTCTGAGGGTCTGTCCTGCCCTGGGTTAGCCACTCTGGGTGGGACACGCAGCTGGTTCATCTGTGCTGCTAGGCGTTCATGGAGTGCTGTTAGCTTCTTCAGCCAGTAGGCATGGATCATATCGGGGCCTGGTGCTGTCCAGCTCTTCATCTTTGACACTCTTTCTTGGATGTCTGCCATTGAGATGGTTACTGGTTCTGGTTCTGGGAGGTTGCTGTGGTCTGCTCTTAGGTCCACTAGCCATTGGGCATCTGGGTTGTGTGATGCCTCTTTTTCCCATATGGCCTTCCAGTATTCTTCCACCTCAGCTCTTGGTGGGTCTGACCTGTTGTTATTTCCTCCCTGCCACTGAGAGTACACTTTGGCTGGTTCAGTGGAGAACAGCTTGTCTATTCTCCTGGCCTCTGCCTCCTTGGTGTATCTCTTCAACCGGGTGGCCAGTGCTGTTAGTCTCTGTTTGGCAGTTTTGAGTGCTTCAGGTATGGAGAGCTTGGTGTATTTCCTGGGTGCCCCTTTATTCACCACGTTGTCTTTCTATAGCTCTGCTTACTTCTCTCCGTGTTGCCCTTATCTTGGCCTCTATATATATATATATATATATATATATATATATATATATATATATATATATATATATATATCTTTTAAACAACTATACATATTTAATAGGCTTCTTTTTTGAGAAATACTCTTTGGTTGTTGTTGTTGTTGTTTCTAAAGCAGGACCAGGCTGTTTATCAGAGAGTGAAGGATCTCTAAATACAACTTGGGTTCAGGTCTTCAGAGTTTGCCGTGACATAGTCCTACCTTGTATATTTTTAAACTTTTCTTACACCCCATAAAATCCAGAAGGCCTTCAACCACCAGTGGAGCTTCGGTGACCCTTAGTGGGGAGGCTACTGTACATTCATCAAGTTGTGCAGTAGTATTGAGAATATTTTCCTATGAGTTTACACAAGTATAAATCAGAATCAAAAAATTGTTCACCTAGTGTTTGCTTTCCATTTTCTTCTGTGCAAATATTCAAGACTGGATTACCAACGGGCAAAGCAGGCAACTTCCTCGGGCCCCAAAAGCCTAAAATTAATTGTGTGATTTGTGGTTATATGATTATTGAAAATATCTTACATTAAACTTAAATGATCAGGGCCTTAAAGGTCCAGTGTGTGCTCTATAGTCCGCCACGTTGAACTGCCATGTTTCTACAGTAGCCCAGAACAAACAAACCAAACAAACAAACCCAAAACTGTTTCTGGTAAAACATTCTGATGCACTGTGAGCTAATTTTTTGAAGAGAAAAGAGAGTAAGTGAGTGACACCTCGAAGCATCAGAACATTTCTTTCTTCACTGGGCAGACATACCTATAAATATTATATTTCATTCTATCTGCCAATAGATCTAAATGTTACACACTGGACCCTTAATATAAAGTGTTACCAATTATGATTTCTAATATCAATCAACACCAGTCATGTCAACAGGTAATTTATGTTTTATTAGGTAACTATTAAAAAACTACAAAATAAAATTTTGTGTCTGTAAAAATAAAAAATACAAATGTATATATATGTGTGTGATTCATGATGAAACACAATTGACATACAAACCATCCAGAGAAGGTTTTGATAAAGAGCATGCCGATGCAGTCTAACACTGCACTGAGAGTTCTAGCACAAGCAAAGTATGCAGAAGATTATCAATATCATATATCAATACGTATTCAAATATATATTCACTTTGCCTAATTATGACAGCAAAGACGCCAGCTGGTGTATACAGTATGCACAGTTTATGATCCTGCAGTCGATATCAAAGAAGTTACATAACATTGACATACAAAGCGTTAAACAAATTATATAAATACACAAAAACAAGTAGAGGTTAATATAAGTTGGATGTATAAAATATAAATATTAAGTCTGCTCATTTCATACGGTTAACATCACAAATTACACCATCAACGGACCATCAGATATGTTGCTTCCAAGCTTTTTGTTGCCATGGTGATGACAATGTGAATACAGTTTTGACATCAGATTTCTACATCTCTAACTGAATAACATGGTGGAATAAAACCTATATGCGACCAGAGGACAGCTCTCCCATTCTCTAGGCCACAAGGTCCATGCAGTCAGACTGGTCCAGCTCTGCCGCATCACTGGTCCAGATCATTGCTGTCGCGGCTGCAGGGCCGATAGTGGCGCTGGCAGAACTCCCTGATCCGACTGCAAGCCTCCAGCATCATCTCCTCCGGCACCGTCACCACAATGCGAAAGAAGTTAGGATACTCAAATGCCTGAAAGAGGACAGAACATGTATACACTTAGGTATTTAAACTGACTACTTTTTTTCATATTCTAAGTTGAAGTGTGTAGTCAGATGTAGGGACAAATTGATGGATGAGCAGTGACAAAAAAAAGGGATGGTGTCTTACTGAAGCAGGCAGACAGAAGACAGACTGCTCGGTCACAAGTCGTTCAGTGAAGTCCACATCGTTCTTAAAATCTGGAAAGTGCTCCAGGTCGATCCCCACCTGGACAAATGTGCACACACGATTCCCTCTTATAAGAACCTCAATTTCATATTCAAACCACCATTAATTTAAAGCTGCAGTAGGTCATTTTTCATAAAAATAACTTTTTGTCATATTCACTGAAACTTTCACTATATCCTGACAGTTGAACATGAGACAGATAATCTGTGAAAAAAATCTGGTTCCTCTGGCTCCTCCTAGTGCTCCTAATGGCATTTGCGTGAATGCTCCGGGCCTAAATTAAAACGACCATTTAGAGCCGAGAAAGATTGGTTGTTGAATCTCATTCCCAGTGTCCCAAAATGTCTGTATTTGATGTCCTGGGAATGACACTCAAGAAATTATCTTTCTTCGCTCTGATTAGTTATTTTTCAGGCACAACAATACTGCAGCTTTAATAAAATACTGTAGAATTATAGAGGATAACATTTATATTCACATGCATAGGTAGGTGAGATGAGAATCTGAATGTGAAATATTTATGGTGTAAAATGTTACTTTGTCCATTAAGTTTGGCTCATTGGCTCAGTGAACTTTAAGATACCTTTTTGCTAAACTACTGTAGCTTTATTAACACATCAGCTTTTTATAGCTATTGTCATTTATATGATAAATTGGAGGCAGCCACTTCTTGAGGTTTTTGTCCAAAACATAAATATACATACATATATTCATAATCAACTAAACTACCATAAATGGTTATTTAATGTGTGCTAATACATATGTTAAAGGGTCACTCCAACCAGCAATTTAGTATTGCAAATCTGGGGAAAGAAGCAAGAAACAAATCAGACAAAACTAATGGTTAAAATTGCCCAAATGCCCATGTCTTTCAAGCTCCATGCATCCAGTTTGTGACACAGGTTTTCTGGAGAACAAGAAAACTGAACTTCCCCCTTTAACTACAAAGTCAGCATGACGCAAAAACGATTTGTTAGTGTGTCCATGTTCAACATAAAACCACCTGGTACTGACCATGAGGTACATAGCTCCTGAAGGCATGATGGGGTTCAGGCCGGGGATGGTGGACAGCTCATTGAAACATATCTCTGAGTTGGACTAAAGAAGAAAAAGATCAACCACCCAATCAGTCTCACAGACACAAAATGACATAGAACACATGAAATAGTTGTCCCGTAAGTTTAAAGGGATTATGAGTCGATTTTTTATGGTTCCTGTACAGGGCCTAAACATACTGATTGATATAAATCTTATATTGTGCTTCTAATCACGATACAGGGGTTACGATTCAATATTAGGATTGGGTTCCTATACGACCAATATCTACCGAACTGAATCACAACACAGATGATGCCTCATTTTATTATAGTTGGATGAGGTTTTATTTTTTATGTGAATTTGCTGTGTAAATTTGTTAAGTGTTAGAATATTTGAGTATACTTTCAAGTGCCTTAGCAATAAAAAAAAAGCAAAAAGCCTGTTCTTTAATGCCGACAACCATCATTTTGTGCTTCTTTTTTGGCACTTTTTATGATACCCAACTCTATTCAATATATTGCGATTAACTTAAAACCTATTAATATTATTATTATTATTATTATTATTATTATTATTATTATTATTATATAAAGTTACGTAACCCCCAGTTGCTGCACTGAGCGGTTGGGGGTTTAAATATCACAAAATAAAATATTGTGATATTCAATTGTATTTATATTTTCTTACAGCCATAGTCTTATATAAGTTTCAGAATCAACATTAGCATATTTTAACTAGGATATTTGTATTTATAATTTATAACACTTGAATAACCACATTATGCAAAGCAACATGGGGCAGCACTGGTTTCTGCTGAGCACAAATAACACTGTCCAGGTAAGGGCCAGAGGGCCAGTTTATGTGTCTAGGGTATCATTAAACAGTCTTGTGATCAAGTATTAGTCCCAGTTAAATAAAGAAGATATGTTGTATATAGAAATATTTTATTTGTTCCTAATCCATCCTCCCTCTGCTTACCTTGAGAAAGCTGATGGTCTTGTTGTAGAAGCTTTGAGGTGTGTTGTTGAGGATGCTCTCCAGGGCACCCTGGACGATGCTGCAGGCTCCCAGAATACGCTGGCTCAGTTTCACCAGACCCTGTCGGATCTTCAGAGGAGACATACCACATTTGATAGATAGTTAAATGCAACAGCGATCTATTGGAGTCTTTCTATTGTCTCTGTGTTCAGGGAAGACACTACAGGGGAATAGTGTAAAACAATTCACAAATAGATATCACCAGAAACGTCCTTAGTTGATTACGTACTTTAAGACAATTAGTTTTTGTATTAAGTTTCCTGAAAGTGTATGTTTAGATTAGCAGATGAGGCCTTATCTAATAATAACATTTGGTGGATTTAGGAGAAACCTACAGATGCAAACAGAAAAAGTATAGTAAAATAAACATCTGAATGTGTATTATGGGTGTTTCTGTCCACTAGTCTGAAAGAAGACATGTTATGGAAGCAAAAAAGCCCAAAATCTCAAAATTGACCAGTGCATGAAAAAGCATTGCCCTTAGTGTCTTGCCTTAAAAGAATACACAAAAAAGGCTATGTACCTCGGATCCAAATACATTATTCCTGTCGTGGATGAGGATCCATCCCATCCTCCAACCGGGGACGAGCCAGCGTTTAGCCAAGCCTCCGCAGGAAAGGATGGGAACGTCACTGCTGAGAGACGCCATGGAAGGACAACTGCAACCTGGGAAAACCTGAGGACAGGTGCATGAACTAAATGAGGCATGGTGGGCAAACTAATCCATGTTCACAGGTCTTTTTTTTAAAAATAACTGTATGTATAAAGTGAATAGGGTAAAACTACTGACGACTATAGCTTTAAAGCTACAAATGACCTGATCCCTACTTGAGCAAATTATTTATTTTTCATCATCTATTACATGAATAGCTTGCCTTTTTCAGTAGCTCAAATTAAATACATATATATGTATTTTGATTATATATGTATTCTGGAGGTGAAGGAAAAAACCAAAGAAAGAATATGAGTACACAGAGAGACAGCGAGGGTAAGGGAAAATAAAGCTGGTTCTCATTAAAACCATTCAGTATCTTTGACGCTGAGTGGGGAACTGCCCCGCGTCCTATTGGCCAGACTGCTATGACATAACAGCAATGTATCTGAAATGTGCCTGTACAGTGTATGTGTCTGCATAGCTCTCCGATTTAATGCAGTTCTTGGCTTGTGGCTGACTCCGCCACCCCTCCCATCACAGAAATCTTTAGTTTAGCAATAGACGGAAAACATTTAAACGTTGTGATCAGTACAGGGAGGTTCAGTCGACTGGAAAATTGGATATAAATGAAAAACATGGAGTAATTATTAATAACAACAACTTTTAGGACTAGCCACTAGTTAAGAACAAATGAAAAGTGTGAATAAAGAAAACCAATTAATTTTAAAAGTTTAAAATAATGATGAACTCAGACAGACATGCATTGTAAAAAAAAGAATTTACTGCTGAGGCTGTTATGAAGGAGAGGATGGGGGTGGGGTAATGCCCCACCGACTGAGCCTTGCTTGGCTGGTGCAGTTCACAGACACCCTGTCCCCCCTAGCCTCCAAACGCTCAAGTCATAAAAAAGAAGGCCTCATTACCACACCCCCAACCCAGCTCTCCACCCACCACACGCCCCCCATCACTCCCCTGTCCCTGCTGCCAAAACCCGACATCTGCATTAATTGCAAACACATGCGGGCAGAAAAATGCAAAGTCATTCTGGTTCTGCTTGCGTTTAATGTGAAATGGTCAGATGGTGAAGGTTGGTTGGTGGTTGGTGGGGTGGGGGTGGAGTTGCGGATGCACCCAACAACCCCAAATCCCAAACTTTTCCACTTACACCAGTGATGGAATGGCACATTTTATTTTTTGTACCTGACTAAAGACTGAAAACTAAAGTGATATTCAGTGAACCAACGATGCCTTTAGACACCTCCCATGATTTGTGTTTACTTTATCAGATTGTTACCTAAGTGGAAAACTACTGCAGCAGACAATTCAACTCTTACCTTATCTCCCCCTTTTTATTGAGCTGGTAAACAACATTCAGCCTGCCTGTGTGTGCTCCTGCCTCTCTATGTGTTTGTGTGTGTATCTGTGTACATGTTTGCATGACCTTCAACTAAAGTTTGATCAGTACATACTTCGTCAAGGCCAATGCTGATGCCAACGCTTTGGACTGGACGTGCTGAAAGTGCTGTTTTCTGATTAAATCCGGTTATTTTCATGTTCAAAGGGTTGGCTCACGCATCTGTCCCCTTTATTGCATCCACTGGCAGCAGCCATGTGATGCTAGCAGTCAGGAAGGAGGACTAAATAATGCTACAAAGCAATGGAAAAACTGGCATGGCCATTTTCAAAGGCATCGTTTGACCTCTGACCTCAAGATATCTAAATGAAGATGGGTTCTATGAGTACCCACAAGTCTCCCCTTTGCAGACATGTCCACTTTATGCTAAAGGGATGCAGTTTGGGGCAAAAATCATGCAGTTTTTTGCATCTGTTGTAAATGTACCTGGTGTTTTTGAATATTTCTGCAGACTGGGGTCCATAAACAGAGTTGGAATTGCAATTGGGAATTACTGGAAAGCTCAGACACATACTTTATGCCACCCCTGTCAGTGCCCCACTTGCCCCTGCTGTGGCATTAAAAATGGAGTCTAAGATACCATTTGATATATGCCATTTATGATGTTTCCCCCAAGAATTTACTCTGGACAGAGCAGCACATCTAAATATGCATTCCAACCACCATGTGATAAATCATCATATATGGACAGGGTGGCACTTTTGAACATGTGCACTCACGCAGCCTGAGTGTAAAAAGCTATCCCCCGAGCCTACGTCTACTGCTTGCCCCTGCTGACCTTACTGGTTGCTGCTTCCAGGCCTCATTCACAGCACATGGCCCCCTAATCCCCGCTGTGCTGATGTGGGACAGTCCACCCAGCATCCAGAGCCAGGGCAAATACCACCGGATGAAACACAACCTCTGCTGTCACTGTGATGAAAAATGTGTCTCGCTGGCCAAGCCCACCTGCCAACCTGTGCTACTTGTGTTGCTGTGTGTAGCTGTACTCACCATATCACTGTAGATTTCATCAGCCAGAATGGGAACGCAGTGTCTGGAAGCCACTGAGGAAAACATTTCATCGTTACACTAAGATGAGGCAAATGCTGTGATTATGTGGTGCCAATTCAAAACTCATTTCCCCAGAGAGGGGTAGAAGTGCAGCTAACCTTTGAGGATCTTCTGTAGGTGCTCCTTGGTGAAGACAGAGCCACATGGGTTGGATGGATTGGTAACAATTATACAGGATGTCCTCTCATCAATCAGGCTCTCCATGTGTTGCAGGTCAACCTCCCATGACTTCTCTGGCTGCAAATTAAAGCTGAGAGTCAGTATGAAAACAGAGCCTTTATAGTGTGGAATATCACACCCGTGTTCTGCTGATGTTTAGGGAGAGTTACTACTAAAAACATGAAAAAGCAACCTGTTACAGTCAGGTTAGACTGATGTAGTGGTGGACGCTGTACCAGGAAGGTATCATGTCTTTAACAGCCAGTAACAGTTATATAGTATATCCTTCTCAGCTGCCATTGACCATTGGCTGCTCATTCATTGTTGCTAACTTTTTATCTACAGAGAGTGGATCCTCCTCTACAGAGGGAGCCATGTTGAACCACCATGTTTCTACAGTAGCCCAGAACGGACAAACCAAACACAGGCTCTAAATTGGATCTGGATCGCGTTTTTTAATGGCCACCATAGTTTCTCCTGCACACTCGGAGAGTGACCTGTATTCAAATGGTTGCAATCTGCAACTTCACCACTAGATGCCACAAAATCCTTCACACTGGTCCTTTAATACTATGATCAATAAATGGCTCCAGCTTCTCCTAAAACCACAATAGCTTGTTCTGGTTTCCACACATACTATGTAAACTAAGACAACTTACAGTTGTTAGAAACTTTTTGACAGATTTTGCTTAACCAAAGGCAAAAGATATCTCAAACATGTTATTGTAGATGATAGTACGCCAAGTTATCTCTGCACTGGACACACTTTAAATAGATTTTATCAAAATAATAAATAGTATATTTACCAGCAGGTTGTAGAGTTTGACCTTGATGCCCATTGAGACAGCCAGAGTCTTATATAAGGAGAAACCTGGGCATGGGACCAGGATGTTGTCCCCAGGGTTACACAGGACACTGATAGCCAGGTCAATGGCCTGACTGCAGCCACTGGTCAGAATCACATCCTAGGAGGGAAGGTGGGTTCACTTTTAGAGCACTGAAACCATACATCCATACTAACAACAACACCCTACAGTGTCTATTCTTTGACTTGAATAAAGTCACTGTAATAAGTTGATTAACCTCCATGACATGCACTCTGATGTTTCACAATCTGATTATAGGCTTATTTATTGTCAGCATAACATTTCTTATAATATAATGTAAGTCATTTTGCTGTAACAATACACTAAGTTGTAATATACTGAGGTTCAGATTGAAAGGTAGCATTGCAGAGGAATGAGGATGAAAGAACATGAAAAAAAAATGCGTGTTAGCAAAAGTATAAAGAGGGTCAGGAGTCAGCACCTCTGCCTCAAGTGGAGCCTCAGGGCAGCTGCAAAAGTTGGCCACTGCCTGCCGGCTCTTCAGATAACCTGCCGGTGGACACAGAAGATATGCAAACAAAGATGCATTAGACCCACGGATTGTGAAAAAAAAGCTGAAGATCAATGACCGCATGTGATTTACTAACATAGTAGAGTCGCCTAATGTAGCTGTAAACCTACCAAAACATCTCATCTTCATGCATCTGCTATTGTGAAAAGCCATTTCTGTCCTTCTCTGCACATTTAAATATGTTTGCTTTGGATTTAGTTTGTTTGCTGATTAGTGGGACTCACCAACGGAGGGAGCGTAGCCGTTGTATTTTTGGGAGTCTATGGCGTCTTTCATGGCCTGAAGCACTGACCCATCTGTGGGTAGGTTTCCAAACACAGTGGGATCCCCTGAGGAATCAATCAATCAGTCAAAAAATACTAGATAGAAAGCAAGTAGAATAAGTAGAAAATAGTAAAACAAACATAAACTAGACCTGCAAACAGGTACCATCCAAGCCGTCCAGCAGAAGCTGTACCCAAGTTGTTAAAAATTTTAATGTGTGATGTGGGAGCTATGGGCCAAAACGCTTTATTTTGTTTCCAATCTTAAAAAACGAATCTAAGATGATAGTTATTCTTACAGTCACACATACTGGATTAATCTGAAGATTCTTCATGTGAAGACTGTCTGGTTGCTTATTGGCTTATTGATTAATTAATTAATAATTTGCATTGCACATTAGCAACAAAAGTGGTACCAATTTCCTCATGCATAAACCCCCTTACCTATGGAGAGTGCGATCATGGGTTTATCTGGGTTTGGGGTGAGCTTCATCCCATCCACAATGGCCCTGATGGGGTTGAGCGTGTTGTTGGCCATCTCTGAGGGCTTCACTTCCCATCTCTGCCTGCGGCTCTTCACTTTGGCCGGATACAGAGTGCCATTCACACTGACATGGTGGATGGCATGCCCGTGCACTCCCTTCCCATTGACTCCGGTGCCATTTAAGCTTTTGGCATTGACTGGGATTTTTCCGTGGACTCCATTCCCATTCATCTGAACCAAGTATGACTTACTATCCATCCTGGAACTGATGAGGATGACAAGAATTGTTAGAGCAGCAAAATATAAGGATATTTCCAGTAATGAAAAGTACATTTACTCAATACTGTATTTACTGCATTTAATTTTGAGCTACTCTCAAATTTATGCTACTTCATACTTTTACTCGACTACGTTAATATGTCCAGTATAGTTACTTTAGACATTTGCCACAATTAAAATATCATGATTTGTTATAGATTACCTACTCCAACCTTAACATGCTCCTTACATGTTAATCAATAACAATAACCCAATAACATAATTTTGTGGAACTTCTGCTCCCCATAAGCTCTGGACCTCGTCGCCTGAGGAGCTGCAGAGTCAGTGACATCTCCTAAATCCCTCCTTAAAACTTATCCTTAAAAAAAAAAGAAGCCTTTTATTAATGATACCATCACTGTATTTATTTATCCGTTTCATTTTTATTGTTGCTGGTCTTATCTTTATTGTTGGGTATTTTATTCCTTATACTTTGTATTATGTTAAATGTCTGATTTTATTTGCCTCAGTCCTGAAATTGTTTAAGTTTTGAAAAGTTAATTAGAAGTATTTATTATTACAAAGTTTATTATCATTGTTACTATAAAATATGTAATAATGTAAAACTATAAAAGGAGTGATTTTGCATAAATAGTACTTTTATTTTTCATACTTGAGTTACATTTTATTGCTAATACTTGAGTATATTTTACTTTTACTTAAACAGTGGAAATGTATCTTTGGTAATAAAAATGCACAACTGCAAAAGAGCTGACACTTGTTGTTGAGGATAACAAGGGATAAAGATTCAAATATTCTTATTCATATTTTATTAGGCTTGAAAGGGTTAATGATCATCATTCTGCATATTCAGAGAATATTATTAGATCGACATTATAAGCTTTCTTTATTAATTTTGCTGTGTTCTCAAAGTGTTATTTTAAGTTCAGTCATCCAAAGTCCAAAGTAAGACCATATTTTCTCTCACATAGGCTTTATAATGAATCTATCGGTGCTAAACATATAAGCTGTGGAAGATCAACTTGATCAACGATGATATATATATCCCAAAAATCAACACAACGGGTTAAAAACATCTTGAAAACATGCATTTAAATGATAATGCCTCTCCATTAATTGTTCATTTGCTGCATCAGAACATTGATAAAACTGAAATGATAAAACTTTTTAAAAAAAGAACACTATTTGTACTTACCTTATTAAATATTCAACAGAAATTCTCTCCAAAAAGGCTGCAGGGCAGGTCAATAACTCTTTCACAAAGTGGACAGTATGGGATGATTTAAGCCGGTTTTATAGCAAGATCCCCGAAAATGGGTGTTGAGCCCTGCCCATATTTCCATTGGTGGAGGCTGAGGGTTGTGCCATTACACCCCTCTTACATCATTAACCAGAACCATACCACCTCAGCTCCTTAACGTGATCAATTACCGGCGGGAGGACGAGGGGGTACAGAGGGACGGGTCTCACGCACAGCTCTGCGGCGTCTGCACGAGTGCGTCACACGCACTGGCGTCAAAACAGAGTGCGGGTCCGTCAACATAGCAGCAGGGAAGACAATGAAAAGTAGCTAAATATTACAGTAAACTACAAATACTGAAGATCTTTATTCAAAATAAAAAATATTACACTTCAGTCAGTATTTCTATTTCATACTACTTTATATACTTTACTACATTTATTTCACAACCATGATTTCCAATTTCGGATTTTACATACAAATCATAAGAAGAACTTAATATATATATATATAATGCAGTGTTATAGATCAAGCTTTCAAAGAAAATATAATTACTCTATTTCTTGGTAGTGTAAATGTTAAATAAATGTAAATGTTACACACTGAACAGTGTGTAACATTGAGGAGGATCTATTGTCAGAAATGGAATATAATATTCATAGGTATGTTTCATTAGTGTATGATCACCTGAATATAAGAATCTTTGTTTTTTCGTTAACTTAGAAAGAGACGTTTTTATCTAAAGATGCGGAGTCCACCATATATCTATAGAAGCCTAGAATGGACAAACACTGGCTTTAGATCGTTCACATTTTTCGTGTTTTGCAGCCACCATAGTTTCTCCTTTACTTTAGTTGAGCTTCAGTTTGTTGGAATTTTCAATCTCACCATTAGATGCAACACAATCCTACACACTGGTCCTTTAAGTTACATTTTAATAATGGATGCTTGTAAAAACAGTATTTCTACATTGTGGTATTGCTTCTTTTGCATAAGTAAAAGAAAGCATTCTTCCTCCTTGTTGTGGTCGAAAACAACACTATGACATTAAAGTTGTGAGCTGGAAAACCAAAACAATAAGCTAAAGGTGGCACTATAGCTCCACAGGGTTTAGGGAAATTGCAGTCGGGTGTGTATTCATCACTACAGCTGACTCCTTTCACATACAAGTAGCTACTATGTGAGCTATTATTAATAAAAAACATTGATTATAGCTGCTTTAATATTATGAGCAATGCTTGTACTTTTCCTACAAGTCAAAATGTCTGCTGTGAAAAAGGCCTATGATTTAGAGCTTTAAAACATCAGGCCCGGACCAAATTGTTTTGGGCCCGCGCTCGAAATAAATAATTTGAATAGTAATAAATAACAGATTCCCTCATTAATTGTCCAAGCACGACCAATGGCAGTTGTTTTGGGCCCAGACTGTAAGGCATTAGCCCGTTGCTTCTCTGGTGCTCAGTGCCCAGACCAAAAGTTACTTATTCGTGATGGGTATGACATAGTAAGGGTAAAAACCGAGTCAACATGTTATGATTTCATGTGTTTGCCAGATGCGAGTAGTCTCTAGCCACGCAGTCACGTTGTGTTAAATCAATATGTCACACAGACAAATAGTATAGCTTAGACAAAACACAGTGAAGATGGTGTTATTCCACTGGAAGCATGTGGGTCATCTTTCAAAGGTATTTCCTTCAGTTACATTCAGTGAACTGCAATTTAGGGGGGGAAAGCAGGTCATACTTAAACAGCATCTGTGGAAAACTAACCCCATATATAATAGCGTGTCAAAAATGTACAAAATATATTTTCTTTATCAAATTATAGAACCCTTTTTTTATTCTGAGGTAAGGTATAAACTGCAAAACAATGCATATTTCCTTTTGTGAAGTGAAACTGAATACGCCTTGATACCACGACTGATAACACAAATCGTTCTCACCGATTTGAAACTTCATGTATTTGTATCGCTGAAGTAACTGTCTCGCAATGCATTTTTACACTCCTAATATAAGCTTTTTGTGGACCCTTTTATTGTCCTTTATGACTTGACAACAACAACACTAGTGAGCAAAGGACTGGTTTAGGTTGTGAGACGATGTTCTGGCTGCCTGTGTGGCCCTTAAGGTTGATCTCAGCTTTCATCCAAAACTGCAAAGTCATTGTCTGGTTCTCCGTCAGGGGAAAACCTCTCAGTTTCATAAATCAACATGGTGGGGGGAGTCAACACGCACTCAAGCAGTCGAAGCTTTGACTGTAGAGTTGGAACGGTTCGTCTACATGCTTAAGATGTTGCAAATTTAGGCCAGAGCACAATGGCCATAAACAGTGCATTTTAATGAATGTTATGTAATCTACAGAGCCGTACTGAGGGAATCTGTCATCCACAGAGACCTACTATTAACATGCCATTGAGAAAGACACTGAACTGCCAGCTACACCAGTGGAGCTAAGTGGCCAACAGGACAGCTCCCAGTTTCGAAATGGGAGGGAGGATGGAACTACAGACAGGAAAATGAGGCCAATCATCCTTGAAAAGGGAAAGGTAAAACATTTTAAAAATAACGTCAAACACATGTGAAGCAAATGACAAAATCCAGTATTGTGCTTTCCTTGAGAAACTGACCACAGTGGCTCTGTGAGGCTGTAGCTAAATGCTACAGGATCACAACCAAATATGACCATTCCACGAGCTGCTATATGTTACATAAGAAAACCACACAAAGAAAAGAGAAAACACACAGCAGTTTTACATCATGAGGTGGGAACATGCAACAACACATGCATCTGATGCAATACCGATAAGAGGAAAAAACCTAGTAAACATTCACAGCTAGTACACCTGAGAATAAATAAATAAATAGATACAAGCCATCAGTGGAAAAGCCACCCTAAAACAGAATTATTAATTGTCTTCTGACCACATTTTAATTTGTTAATCAGAAGAATTTTCTGATTCATTGTAATAAATCAGTTGTACTGTTGGGTGTAATAGCTCAAATAGACATTTTAAGTGCCGTCAGAGCCAGTCACTAATAATAATTACTGCAAGCATGATTCTGTGATTTCCATCTTGTCTTGCTATATTGTCTAAAATTCTGTGAATGTTATAATATATATTCCATTTTAGGATGGATTTTCCTTTTGATAAAGACTTATATAATGATTCAGTACACACACAGTATACCCCTTGACACTTTGTACTCTGCCATTTACCCTGTACTGTCGCTTTGCCAAGAGCCTTGGTCAGTCTGTCTCTCACTGCTGGTTATGGCATCTGTGCACAAACAAAATACATGTGACATGGACGGCACAAATAAATTAAAGGAAGAAAGATAAAGAGCAAAAAACACCTTTAGCACACCTTTATTTTGCTGGGGCTAGATTAATGTGGGTTCAACATATTAGGTGTAGGTGGTTTAATGGACTTGATGTGACATTGTGTGATATACAAGTATATTACAGTATATTATAAATTACATTTTGTCAGACTGAGAGTGACTGACAATTATGTTTTGAATTAGCCTCAGAAGCTAATGGTCAGTAATGAATGAAATGTCAGATCTCTCTGGGTTTGGGGTTTGTTATATTGTAAAGTAATAATTTACGTAATATTACAAAAATTAGACACATACTATCACAGACAGATGCAGAAAAACTAATCCATGCATTTGTTTCTTCTAGGCTGGATTACTGCAACTCTTTATTATCAGGTTGCCCCAATAAGTCCATTAAAACGCTCCAATTAATTCAGAACGCTGCAGCACGAGTACTGACAGGAACTAGGAAAAGAGATCACATCTCTCCTGTACTAGCTTCTCTGCACTGGCTCCCTGTAAAATGTAGAATTGAATTTAAAATCCTCCTCCTCACCTATAAAGCTCTTCATGGTCAGTCCCCTTCATATCTTAAAGAGCTCATAGTACCCTATTACCCCTCTAGAACACTACGTTCTCTGAATGCTGGGCTACTTGTGGTTCCTATAGTCTCTAAAAGTAGAACAGGAGCCAGAGCCTTCAGTTACCAAGCTCCTCTCCTGATGGTCCTGCTTGACTGCCATTGCTAATATCACTGATATTATTATCATTATTATTATCATTATAATTATTATTATTATTATTACTACTACTATTATTATGACTACAGTTACTATTATTACTATAATCAATGCTCATTGTCCCCCATCGTTGTTGTCGCAGTCGTCTTCTTCTTAATGTTCATCATCATCAGTCACTACTATTAGTGTAGTTGTTGCTACTTTTGTTGCTGTGCACCTTTGTCTCTGTCTCTCTCTGTCTCTCTCCCCAACTAGAGCCGAAGGGTCTGTCCTCGGTTTCTGCCTCTTAAAAGGATTTTTTTCCTTGCCGCCGTCGCCAAGTGCTTGCTCATGGTGGTACTGTTGGGTCTCTGTAAATAATGTTATAAAGAGTTCGGTCTAGACCTGCTCTATTTGAAAAGTGTCCTGAGATAACTTCTGTTATGAATTGGCGCTATACAAATAAAATTGAATTGAATTGAATTGAATTAATCTATAGCTCCAGTGTGTAACATTTAGGAAAATGTATTGGTAGAAATGTAATATAAAATTCATAGGTATGTTTTCACTAGTGTATAATCACCTAAAAATAAGAATCATTGTGTTTTTGTTACCTTAGAATGAACTGTTTTTATTCCACCATTTTAAACCGCCATGTTTCTATAAGACCAACCAGAACAAGACCATTAAGAGTGATGTTCACAGCTCTTCTAAGCTATCTTGTCAACAAAACCAGTCAAAACCAATTTCCCACAAGCACATCTCAAGAGAATAAGACACCAAAACAGTCTGAACCTTCTCTTGCGTCAAAACGTTGCAATGCCCCTTCTGAGCTAACAGATGATTTAACACTGATTCACCAATGTACATGTACATTTCACTTACTACCACTGTAAAGGACGAAATAAAGAAAAAATACAGCTTCAGGTCTCAAATTTGGCAGTACCACTTAGGTTGAGTCAAACAGGTGGGTTTGGGTCTCAGCTTGCAAGACATATGCAGAATGACATCTGGGAGAATGAATTAGAATTGGTTTGGGTCCCCACACCAGTGTAGTGTTGGGTAGGTCCTTTCCACACCAGGTCAGTTTGGAAATATATTCAGAAATGTGTAGACTTAATCACTCCCCAGACTTCTATTTTCCCCACAAAAATCTTCAATGACTGAATTGAACTGAGGTGAAGGCCATTTCTTATGCTCATTCTATGTTGAACTTTCTGTCCAGGATGTATCATTCAAGGGCAGTTACAAATCAATCCTCAAGGCAAAAGCCAGTAACCAGTGTCCTCATTTTACCTCCACCACAAAGGCCCTATCTACGATTCACTGTGTAAACACATGTGTGCAAACAGCAGGGGTTACTGTTGACCTCACTGCTGACCCTTGGTGATACACTGCTCACGTCTATATCATTTTTTTCAACCAGTCTTGTTCACACATTTCAGCATGGAGAGTTGGTGCCGTGTCGTGCCACTGGACAGTCCTCCATACAGAGCTGACCTCCATCAAGTTGATTGGCTGACTCAGGAGAAAGGCACATAACTGGCCAAAGAAAAGTAGACATGACCATGAGTGGGTGGTCCGTGGGGTACGGGTCCATGTCTGCCTTACATCAACCGACAAGGTATTCCACACTCTTGCTTTTAGTGGTTCTCAATTTTTTTTCTGCTGCATCCCCCTTCAGAAGCCAAAAAACCCCACCACCAAGTTGAGACAGTGTAAAGTATAAACCTCATGGTGGTGCTAGAGGAAAAGTAAGGGGATCACCAAAGTCATAGGATATGTCATCTTGCAATCATGTCATCTGTATAAAATGTTGTGCCAGTCTATCTAGTAGAGAGATTTTTCATTTGGTACAGAAGTAGCGACATCTCAGTGTGGACCAACCAACTGACCAACAGAAAAACAAGGCTCTGATGAGAAGTTGATGTTTGTTACTGATTTGTCAACAAATGTACAGACAAAACAGGAAATGCTATGATAATAACTGACAACAGGTGGGTATTAAAGACCTTTCAAATTGTATGCTTTCTAATGAGAACGCTTGAATTGAACACTCTGAAATTCATAAGGTCACACAACAGCTTTATAAATGAATGAAGCAACATGTACATTAGTCTTTTTTTTGTCCAATAGTTCAGTCACCACCCTTCAATCAATAGTTGAAGCCAGAGATCTCATCATGTCCTTCTAAAAAAGGTATTTAAATTAACTCCACAAAAGAGCTAAGAATCATAAGAAACTGATAAGTAACAGGAACAATAACAAGAAATTGCACTACAGAAATGTAAAAATTGGGTTTTCCAATCATTTAGAAACAGTGTTACCATTACATGGTTTGTCCACCAGAAAGCACCAACACTGACTTTTAAGTAAGTAAAATGTCCCACTTAGTATGTATCTTAGTGACAATTCTTTAAAAAAGAATCTAATGGATCCTTATCAAGATTGTTATGTTATACGCATATGTAAAAAATATGTACACTTGGCCAATATATAGTTATCAGTATCGATATAAGTATTTATCTAAAAAATACAGTATCTGTCAGCCTATAGTCCATATGCTCAAATGTCATGTATGAATTTGGCTCCTTGCATTCACATACTCATAGAGAAGTCTTTTCTTTTTATTGCGAGGTTTGTAGTCAGGGTCGCACTCAAGGGAGTCCTCGCTGTCACAGCTTGAAGAATGACTGGAGTAAAGAGTGTTCAGATCAAAAGAATATTCATCTTCTTCCTCCTCCTTCCTCCTGTCCTCATCGTTGTCGCCATTGCTCCCTTGTACCACAGACTCTACATAGCAACTTGAGGATCTCCCCTTGGTCCACTGATAACACTCCTGAGTGCTCAGCCTGGTAAGACTCACGTAGGGCTTTAGCAGCTTGGACTGAAGCAGCATGGCCTGACTGGATAGTGATAACCTCAGCTGGGCTCCTTGGACCCTGCTGGTTTCAGATCTGGCAGCCGTGCAATCAGAGTTGGTGGGCGAGGAGATGACAGTGGAGCACGGTAGGGTCTTTGATTGAGAAGGACTGATGTTATGTGTCTGAAGATGAGGTTTGATGGAACTCTGAAGGAGAACTTGTCGAGATGATTCGGATAAAGGGATTTGGTTAGCAGTACAAACAGAGGACAGTGTACCTGAATGAGAAGTAGAGGTAGAAGCATATTGTGTAAGAAGCTCAGATACATTGAAGTCGTCGGGCAAAGGTGGACAACTTGTCCGGAAGGTTGTTTGGGCAGCTAAAGGGTTTTGACTGAATCCGTCCAGAGCCTGTGAATGTCTGGTGGTAGTACAAGCCCGTCTAAACTTCCTTGAAAGTCTGGAAAAAGACTGTCTGCTTTGTGGTGTACAGCTGGTAGAGTTACATGCATCCTGAGATACAGGAGCTGTTTGCACTTTGCGTATTGTGTTTTGGGAATTTGTTAGGGCCTTGGTTTCTGTTTGGGTAAACAAGTCTTTCATTGTTCCCTGAGCCATGACATTTCTTCCTGAGATATGGCGGTGTGGAGAGGTTAGGACCTGAGGACTGGAAGTGGAAGTGGTCTGTTTCTTACTAGACCTGGTACAATTATTTGGAGATGCTTGATGGGGTTTAAAGGTTGGGTAGATTCCTCTGACGGAGGCAATGTCTATCAATCGGACCACCGGCAACAACAGGGCGGGCAGCACAGTGTCTCTGGATAAGGGGGCCTGAGGTAGTGGTTCTGTTTGAGGAGTACCGGTTAAAGATCCAGGTGATCGAGAGCTCAGCTTATCTTCAGGGTTTGCTTGTTCACATGCCTGAGCTGCTGTCTGAAGATGGGTGGAGGTCTGTGGAAGTGAATGTTGTTGGTTTGCGGGGCATGGGACGAGGTCAGACGGGGTGAGGTCCTGTGATGAAGAGGTGGAGGAAGACGACTGGAACAACGGGGGAGATGAAGAAACATTAGCTTGAAGCAGCAACTCTTCGGAGCACTCGTCGGGACACTCCTGCAGGATGCTCTTCACCCATCGCTGGTGTTTAGAGCAGAACTGAGGAGAGGAAGTGACCTCCTGAACACCTTCACTGCTTCTCTGACTGATGTCTGCCTTTTCCTTGTCACTGCTCTCTTCCTTCACCCTCTTGACTACCTCACCATCCTCCTCTGTTCCTTGATGTCTCCTAACATCTGAATTATTGTCAGTCTCCAATAAAAAAGGGCTGTCCTTGGACACATCTTGTTCAGCCTCCTCTCCTAACCTTAAAACATCTGGCTGAAACTCAAATGGAGTTTTTGCTTCCACTGACTTGAGTAGAGCCTTTGAAGAGTTGCCCTGCAGAACAGACCTTGAGAGTTGAGAGCTTTCCATGCCCTTCTTTCCATGTTCTGATGACTGAGAAACCCTGCACAGACGACAGGAGGCAACATCTAAAGGAACAGAGAGGCAGTGCATTTTAATTAACAAATGTGTAATTATCATCAGAGAAAGAAATGCATTATTGGCTAAACGTAAAGGAAATCTTGCTACCATTGGTGCAAAGACAGAGTGTAACATAAAAAGGAAACACAGAGTACAAGCACCATTACATCTTATTCTGTTCTATGTTAAAGGTGAACTACAGCGATTTTACACATCAATTCTTTACAGGTCTTGGGAGTACTGTTGCAATTGTGAAAAAGTTGTCAGATTAATTGCGTTTAGTGATGTCACTTGAGTTAGCGTCATTTGGGCTGAAGACTATTAAATGAAGACTATAAGTGCCTACATTAGCTGCTACTAGCATAACACACTTAAATCTCCGACCGAACTGTCGGCAGTCAAGTTGCATTGTGGCTAATGTAGGCACTATATTTTGACAAGGAAAAAAATGCATGGAATAAAAGACGATCTACATTTTGTCCTGCTGCACCGACTTTGATCCTGTCCATCATTACTGCAATGCTAAATGAGTGGAGTACTTTGTGACATTAGAAATAATCTAACAAGCTGCTGAAAGTGTTCATGACTTTTGATTAGAATATTTTACTGCCATTAATGAATAATTATTTATTTATTTCCTTGTATTCTTGTTTTTAAATGTTTACATTGACTTTTATCTATTTTATTATTGTATTTTATTGTGTTAGTGTCAAACTATTTTGCTGTCAAAGCATTAATTAATGACTATTATGACTTGCCACAGTTTTTTCATGAAAGTCATCAATTTATTAGAATATTCTGTTGTCTATTTAATAAAGTTGAATTTCACATTTGTTGATTGTGTGTTGTTGTGTTTCTTACCACAGTGCAGCAGTTTCTTTAGAGTTGTTGCTATGGTCGTGGAGTCAGAGGTAATTACTTCCAACAATAGCTTTTCCTCTTCAGTCACAGGACTGTCTTTCTTCAGTATCTAGTTCACACATTCATATGTGGCAGAAATGCAATCAATGAGACATTCCTGTGATGATATCATAGGCAGTTCAAGTGCTGTCATTTTTAAAGCTCTTCATGTTCTATCAATCAAGAACCCTGTGGAGTTTTGGTCTGCTGTCACATGTCCGATGAATGTACACTATTAAGGCCCTGACGGGGCACAACAACCTGCTTCACCATCCTGAGGAGGGTGGGAAGGGTGAGGCTAAATACACACTGCTGGCAAAACTGCTCATATTTGACTCAGACCTATTTTTTTCATGGCAGTGTGAACAGCAAAAATCACATGGAATTGGATCTTTTCAATTCTGATTTGGGCCACTTTCTTATGTGGTCCAAGTGCTGAGATATTGAGTTAAATTTAAACAGTGCAACAATGGTTTGCAATAGAACAAGGTTTTGACATTGACAAGGCCCATTACAATCTTTCAGTGGATAGATTTTTATGCTAGTTTTAAGAATTTTAGCCAAGGAAGACTGGCTTACCCAATTGGAAGTTTTTTGCTCAATATAAGAAAATTGGTTACATTTAAGAATATTTGTCTTGTTTCTAGAAGGGCTGTTTTTGTAGTGCAGGCTGTTTCAGCCCTAAGCAATGCACAGTGTTCATTACCGTCCTCCACTGGCATCTTTATCCCACAGCCCAAACACACCTTTACTCAGTGTACTCTGTACTGAGTATGTACTGATGAGAACACATTTACAGTACATTAGAAGTAACAGTAAGAATCTGGCAATGCGATACGTATCACAATGTCAACGATTCAATATACTGCAATATATTGCGATACTGTAAGCAAGACGATCTATTATGATGATGATGAGTCACAATATAAAGACCACACCACCCCATGCATAACAAAGTTGACTTTTTTTATGCAACCAAAACAGTGAGTTGTGCATTTATATTTATCACAGTCATCAGTTTAGCCTATCAATGCAGTGTTTTTGAGAATCGATATAATATCACAAAACAAAATTGCAATTCTTTTAATATTTTCTTACACCCCTATTGCAAAGTTTTACATTGTTAATGTGTTTATAAGTCCCACCATCATAATTAATACCGCTTTTTAATTGCACGTCTCTTCTATCAAATTAATGTTTTGGGCACCTCTTTCAAACTGCAAGCACAGATTAAAGTGCACACTACCATAAAACACACACCTTATCAATGTAGGTATCTCCTGGTAACACAGTCTCCAACTCGTGTAGATAGTGCAGCAGCCGGTCTTCTACTTTCTGGGCATAATGTTCACCATACCGCTCCTCCATCTGATTCTGAAAGGAAGGAAGCACTTAGCATGGTACCTGGAAACAACACTGAATCACACTTTGAGAATTTGCATTAGAGCCTGACTGATGTAGGATTTCTTGAGGCCAATACCAATTTTGGAGTGGAATTTTGCACTGATATGACTCTGTAAATGTACTCAGAAGGCTGCTTTCTTAAACAAATAACTTTATTAAAGAATATTTAACTTAAATATTCTTTACCATGTTAAATAATTTAACATTTAATGTATATGTTCTAGTTGACATTACCGAGAGCTGCTTCTTCTCTCTTACTCTGTGCTGATTGCCACAGTATTGTAAGTCGCAGCTCACTGCTGGATAAACTTTGCAGTGACGCCAATATATTATAATATTAAACATTTAATACATACATATATGTATATGTGTGTGTGTCTGCAATAAGTCAATATCGGCTGGTATATATATTGGTCTGGCTCCAATCTGCATACAGCTTAGACACATACTTTGGGTTTACTTATACATTGCAAAAGCTAGAATGTAAAGGTTTCAAGATTCAGTGTCATTAAGAAATATAACCTGGGTGGATTTTGTGTGTACAAAGCTTATTTAATTTAGTGCACGGATAAACAGTGTGGGTTTCTATTTTTGTCGACAATGTTCCTCTCCATTTGTCTGTTTACTGTTTTGCCCAGTGAACTTTAATACTGGAGTACCAATTCTCGGAAACAGTTAGATCAACAATTAGAACTTATAGAGCACAACTGATATATCGGTTGGCCGATATTATTGATATCAGTTGCAGCAATATGAAAACTGCTTTTTTTCCCTAGTATATGATGCAGAAAAAAATGCCTGTGGTAATATATTGGTGCCACTGCAAAGTTCATCCAGCAGAGTGCGCTGCATTTTCAGAGTGCGCTGCATGTGGCAAGCTGCACATAGTGAGAGAAGAAGCAGCTCCCAGCAATGTCTACTAAAACATCTGGTTTTCACAGTCCACAAATTGTTTTTCCAATGCAAAGAAACAGGTTTTAAATTTGAGGAAAATAAAAAATGCATAAATATCAAATTCAGATTAGATTATGAGCTGCCCTTATAAAATGTTGAGGGGGTGTTACCTATGTTAAACAATCAGCCGCACGGCTCTATTTAAGATCAAGTGGGATTCATGATTAAGCTCACCTAGGTAAGAGCAGATTTGGATGCTTAAATATGTTTGGTGCATCTGGAGTTGGGTTTTCTTACATTTTCTCTTAACAGAAAATTATGTTGCTGCATGAGGCCCAATGTATATCAAATGTTAAACTATTTACATGTTTATAAAGTTATTAGTTTAAGAAAACACCTCATTTTCATGGTTATAATGGTGGAAAATCTGTTAACAAGCCACATACAAAAGGTCTACTTACATTCCAGCTCAAAAACTCCCTATATCAACCGCCATATTGGTAATCTAATCTTAATTGAATTCTTTCACTCCAAAACCTGCATCGATATCGGTCTGGCTGGTTTCCCCACAAAGTTTAGAGTTCATTAGATCTGCATAGTTACAAGAGGAAACAACAATATGAATCATTTACTACTTTTAAATTTCATTACACCAATTATTCTGACTACATGGACATCTCTAGACTTGTATACATATGGAGTTATTTCTAAATGTAGATCTGTAGTGTGCCCTGCTGGATCGAAAAGGACTCACAGTTAGGGGCTGAGAGAGAAAACAGTGCTATGTGCCTACTTATTCAACACACTGACACCAGGCGATTGTTTAATTGTCAGGGACCTGAAGAGTCAAGGAAAAGTCCACTTGAACATGTTATACTGACAAACTTGACATGAACAAAAGTTACTTTAAACTTGTATCCTATCTTGCATTCTTTGTCCTACTCTGGCAGTTACTATCACTGTTAAAAGACGGTGAAGTAAACTAACCTTAATATAATCTTCACGTTTGTCCTTGTCCATAGCAAGTGCTTGTGCCAGAGCCTTGAAGTCCAGATGGTTCTTCCTCATTAGGAGCATTTCATGATGGCTCTGTGCAAGACAAAAGAACACATAACATTGGTAAAGAATGGGTAAGATTTGCACAGAGGCAGCACGGCAGATTTCTATAAAAAGCTAATTAATTAAATTAAATGTTGCTTTTCATTGGTCAGACACACCAGGTTCTATAATAGCTTAATAAATAACAATATTCATATTACTGACATTAAGTTATTGAGAGTCAACCGTTTTGGACTACTTTTATATACATTTATACATAAAATATATATAAAAACAATGTTAACACCCTCTAATCAGAGGAGGGCGGCCCTCCTCCCCACTCTGAGTGAGAGTCTGTGAAACCACTGCGCTCATTTTCAAATTCCTCATTCACAGGAGTTTATGCTAGTTTTTTACTAACCCTCTACTTAGCATTTGTCTATTTTGGAGCAGTGGTTTAGACTTGTGTCTTAGACACTGTAGAGGCACCGGACTGCAATCTCTACCTTGATCCCACACTGACTGTCCCCCCATAGACACACAGGCATACCGGAGAGTTAGCCTCTCTGAGCTGTTATCTTAGGTCCAACACAGGTACCACACTGAAACTTTTACAAAACAGCTGTGAATGTGCTTCTAGTAACTGTAAAAGCTTCAGTGGACTCTTTGTGTTTCCAGTGCGGACACAGAGAGTCTGACAGCAGCTGCTATTAGCTCTGATTAACAGCTCGCTGTTCCTGCTACACTGCTGAGGTCAGTCTGTCACTAACTCCGGTTGGTGTCGAGACCACGTCCCTTTCACAGGTCTCTAATGTATTTCTTAAATTTGCTGAGAGGGAGGGAGCTAGCAGAACTGAAGGGTGTAGTTACACTTTAATACATTATCTTTAATATAAAAACAGTGATTAGTGCAGCTTTAAATGAAATTGTTGAATTATTACTACACAAGACTAAAATCAACTGAGAAAGGGTTAAGAGAAGGCAGAGCGTTAGACACGCAAGTTGGACACTTACACACTGATGTTGGTATTGAGGTAGTTTACTTGGGAAGAACTGGTTTATTTTAAACACAGTATCAACCATTCCTCGGCCCTCCCGGAACATCCACATAATGACCTGGGAGGAGAGACGATTCCCAAGATATCAATAGATAGAATATAAATAAACTTCAAAAATACAGCCATGGATCAACTGCAGCTGGAACATGTAAGTAACACAGATTTTAAATGCTTGCAGAATAAATAAATTCTACCACCACTCATGTCCATACCAAGGTCTTGAGGCCAAAAATGATCTTCATGTGTTTGATGGGAGCCACCAGTCTAGGTAAAAGTCTGTAAGTGGCTTCCAAAAAGCCCATCACTCTCTCAAAGTGCTGCACGTCCCTGCTCCTCAGGATGGAATATACCTGGGCAGAGGCAACACGCAACCTCCATGAATCTTCAAGGCTCAGAGGCTGGGAGTCCACTTCTGGCCAGGAGGAAGGGTCCACAGCTGTGAAAAACATGGCAGATTTTTACCATTTCTTTTAAGAGAGTGATCTACTATGTTTTACAGTGACTTCTCCAAAATATTCTTAATTATATACCGCCACAGGGGTTATGTTTTCAGTGCTGTATATTTCTTTGTCAGCAGGATTTGGGAAAAACTACTTGCCCATATTTCATGAAACTTTGTGGAAGGGTGTAACATGGTCCAAGACAGAACCCAATACATTTGGGTGGATTGACTTGCATCAGTACTTCTTACTGACATTACTTTTCTTCTTGTTGTTTTTATTTACATATTTGGTGTTGTGGAATCCAAAAGTAACAGAAAATAATCAAGTTATATTGCTTTAATATTGTGATACATGGATTAGGTTACTGACTAAATTAATAAAAAAAATAAAAAAGTAATTAGTAATTGTATCAGATCACATCTTTAAAGTAACCCACATCTAACCACATCTTTTAAGTAGGGCTGCACAATGTTGTTAAAATAACATACTCTTATTTTTTGACAGATTCACAATCATTTTATTTATTTTTATTCATTTTTTACTAAAAATATGATGAAAAGTCATACTTTTGGGGAAAACATGTTTTTTTAAAATCTGGAGAACAACAACATTTGTCGGCTGGGCCATCTCTGCAGCCCTACAGAGCTTCATTATAATGCTGTTTGACACACATTTTACCTTTATTAAAACAGTGCAGCTCTTGCAATCTGCATATTGATTCTGTGAATGTTTCGATTTATTGTGCAGCCCTACTCTAAACCCTGATACTGCGTTACAAGTAAAAGTCATGTAGCACATGTTTTACTTCAACTTTTGTGTTGATTCTGGCAGTAGCAGACATTAAAACTAACTACAAATAAACAGCCAATCTTCTTGCTGATGGTCTTGTTTGTTTCTGTAGGTCATATAGAGGCTTCAGTTTCAAACTGAGACTGTTTCATAACCAGTTAAAAACTCCTTGTAGTACCTTTAAGTAAAAGTATAGCAGTCTCAGCAAGAAAATGCACTTTAGGTATCAGAATTCAAAGTACTTATAAGTATACTATTTATAAGTTATAATGCACTGTTACATTAAACTGTTTAAGGCAACAGTGCATTATAATTTATAAACTGATCACATTATTTCCATGTAAATTCTTAATGAGTGAAGTAAAACAACCAGCAGGAATCACTGTTCAATACATGTAGTGGAGAACAAAGTACAATATTTAAAATATAAAGAAGCATAGATTAGAAATCCCTAAAAACCAACCTTGCTGTACATCCATCATCTGATGAGCCCAGACGTGCTCTATGATCCACAGCGGGAACTTTGGGAAGCTCTGTAAACATTTATGGACAGACTTCAGCTCTGCTCCTTCCATCGGGGGCTCGGTGATACTCAGCTCCGCAGGGCTTGTAAAGGGACAGAGTACCGGGGATCACCCCGCTGGAGCTTTTAAACTCTTATTCATGAATGGGCTGTGGATCACCCACTCGGCTGGACATGTAGAGGCAAGTTGAGGAAGTGTAACAGCCCTCAGTTCTGGCACTGTTTTGTTTCGATTTGAAAACGTTTCAAATTACTTCCTAAACAAGCTCCCTGGTCGCTGTCAAAATAAAAGTTTTTAAAGGAATTGTGATATATAACCACAGGCAAAGGCACGTAGACTTTTATTGTGAAGTGAGTGTGAATGTGACGCACGATGTTGTTGACCCGGAACTACTTTGACAGAGTCTCTTACCCCTGTTTTCACCTTCTGTCCTGAGTATGTGGTCCCTTTGAGTTAGTGTGGACGTGTGCACATTAGTGTGAGGTAACGGAGATACTCAATGTCTTTAAATGTTAATACTGTGCTTAGTTGGTAGCATAAGTAGCGTATTTTAAATATAACTACACTAACATGCTAACGACTTAGTTAGCTTTGTTGCTTGTGGTAGCTGTTGACTGGGAGGGCTTGTTTCATAGCACCTGCCTCCCCCGTCGGTGGTGTTTGACTGTTAATAAGCTAGGCTTTCTGCGCTGCGCCAGAGTAACAACATATATTTTGTTATTCGGCAACGATATATATTTATATATGATTTTAAAAAATACTAAAATGTTCTTATGGAGTCTCCATTACAAATGTTTCAACAATGGCGCCTCCCAGTGGTGGTAGTAGACATTTTTCTCCAAAAGCAAAAGCTCATGCCATCAGTCATTTGAAGTATGCTGTGATTGCATTTAAATAGACATTTTTCACAGGTGTTCCCAATGACACTAATTAAAGTTGAGTTCCATTCAGGTCAAACAGAGTCAGGGTGCTGCACTAAATGGCCAATAGTGTGACGTAAACCCTGTCTGTATACTTCCACATGTGCATAAAGCCAGGCCCACGCAGAGCCCTGGCCTCAACCCTATCCAACACCGCTGTGCCATCAAAGCAGGGATTTTATCAAATCTTAAAATGTGGCAACGGTTGAGAACTTACATTGACTAAATGTCCTTTTGTATGATTTTCCTGCAGCACTGTATATCACCCACCCTGACGTGTGACACATCAGCTCACTGCAGCTCCACCATGAACACAAAATCATGGGTGTCCCTGCTCCAACTCTCCAGGAGGGGGTTCAGACTTTGTGCATCCAAACCCCCCCACTGCAGAGCCGGGGCCTTGGGTTTAATAACTTCAACTTGTCTTCCACCAATTTCACCCCACTCGCCTGTGACCTGCAGGCACTCTTACTCCAGCAACGTCAAGCTGCGCTCCTATCTTCAATACTTGAAGCACAAGATCAAACCCCCTCCCAGTCCTCCGTACTGTCACGTGTGCCAAGTAGGGGACCCAGTGCTGCGTTCACATGCAGCAGCTGTTGACCCTGCAGCTGTAACGGGCCCCGAGGTCCAACAGGTCATCAACACTATGGTCAAAGTGATGCGGAAATTTGAGTGTGTGGGACTGAGCGCGCCTCAGATTGGAGTGCCACTCCGCATCCTGGCCTTGGAATATCCCGAGAAGATGTTGGAAGACTGTTCGCCCGCAGCAAGGGAGGTCCGCGGTATTTCCGTCCAGCCTCTGAGGATCTTTGTCAACCCCCAGCTGAGGGTCATGGATGGACGAACCATGCTCTTTCAGGAGGCCTGTGAGAGCCTCTCAGGCTTCTCTGCCACAGTTCCACGCTACCTGTCTGTGGAAGTGTCTGGTGCGCATATTTATAGCTTAATCCTGTTTTTCCTATACAACAGTGCCTTTCAGATTTTGTGCCAAATCTCATTTGCTGAGACTAAAAAACACTAAACACACAAACACCCAAAACAAAAAGTTTCAAAATAGACTACCTTTGTATTTCAGTGAAGTGTATAAAACTTTTAAATAAGGATGCTGATACTACACCATGTTTCTGATGGGACCTTAATATCTGTGGGACATGAAATGGCAATTGACCCTTCCTAGGTCCTGCCCCTTTTGGAATATCCGTCAACTTTCTACTTTCCTGTATTTAGATATGCTATGTGCTAGGCTAATCTATGTTGAAAAGCTAGCTAATCTACATTAATTGTTAATCATTCAGCATAGACTAGCCTAGCACATAGCATATCTAAGTACAGGAAAGGAAGTTGACAGAGGTTCTGACTGAGGCTTGCTCAACTGTTACTGGAGCACAGAGCAAACGGGGCGGGACTTAGGAAGGGTCCATTTCTAATGTATTTCTGTACCTTTTTCTCATTTCTTCATTTCTGCATGTTCACCCTGCAGGTCTGAATGAGAAGGGGGAAGCTGTTGCGTGGCAGGCCAGTGGCTGGCCAGCTCGCATCCTCCAGCACGAGATGGACCACCTGGACGGGGTCCTCTACATCGACCGCATGGACAGCAAGACCTTCATCAACATCAACTGGCAGGCCTACAATGAATAGAAGATCCTCAGGACGGACCAGAAACATTTACAGAAGAAACTGTAAGACTGCATTAATGATCTCTGATCTATACTGTACCGATGAAATCGTTTTACGTTTGCTCTTTTGAGCAGACGCTTTATTTTCATGTGAAAAATCTGGCTTGCAGAAGTGATTCATTTTGGTTTCTGGAGAGAAGAGATCAGCATCATGATGAAGCTGCAAGGTGGAAACCTTAAAAGCAATGGTCATAAATGTGCTCCTCAGGTCTATGTTTAATGAATACAGTGGCTGATATGGTCATGATAAAAGGAGTCATAAATGTGTGACCCTTGTCTGGCACCATCAAAATGAAAACACAACTGAATAGCAAATGAGGGCGAAATGCTTGGGGAGCAAAGTGTCAGCCCTTTTCCTCAGAGACTCACTTTTGTTCAACTCTTAACACAATTCAGAAAATGCTGGTCATTCTATAGGACTTACACAAGAATGGGAAAAAGGATGAATGTACCTGGACTTAATCAAGTTTGGCTTAGACATGTTTGGGACATGAGCGGGCATGACCCAGAGAAAACAGACGCGGTTTTAACAGCTTTAAGAAAATGGTACCTGCACCCAGGTTCATGTTGGTTCATGTTTGTGCATGTCAGGCTTTCACAGATCCATGACCAGTATTTGTTTGTGTCATTAAAATGTTGATCATAATATGTTATGTCATTCTTGTGCAGTTTTCTCATCAAGCTCATTTTCAAAAGACTAAATGTCTAATACTAAATGGACAGTTAAGCTACGGGCTGAATATTCAATTTGAATCCATCCAATGAAAAGCATGCATCTCCAAATTTGGTGATTTTCAAGTGTATAGTAGGTTAGACTGTAATCAGGATTTATATCCATTAAATTAACCCACCACTGTTCTGTAAGCAAGCTTAAAAAGACATTTATTTTCTGAAAAGGTAACATTTTGACATACAGGTCATCATAAACAGACATTACATTGCCACTCCCTACCCACTGTGTTTAAAAGCAGTTTTCTTGTGATGTCAAGTGAAACATATACTTGGTTGAAACGATTCTATTAGTCATTTAAAGCTCCAGTGTGTAACATTTAGGAAGATCCATTGGCAGAAATGGAATATAATATTCATAGGTATGTTTACCTTTATCTATCTTAAAAAAGAAAAACTTGAAAACTTTTCACTTGAAAATAAGAGCCATGTTTCTACAGTAGCCCAGAAGGGACAAAACAAACACTGGCTGTGCAGCCACATAGTTTCTCCCTTGTGCTTGGAAGGGGAGGGTGAAATTAGTGACTTGCAATTTGCAACTACACCACTAGATGTCACTAAATCCTACACACTGGCCCTTCAAGGTATTTTTCCAGGTGCCCAAGACCAGGTTCCAAAATCCTTTATTGCACTGAATAACTCTTTCAGACTGTTGATTGGACAAAACAAGCAATCTAAACACATCAAATTAGCCTCAAAGAAATTGTGATGGCAAATTCTTAACAAACAAGCGCTTAATCAATAAATCGTCAAAAAAGTCAGCATATTCACTGATTATGATGATTCAATAATATTTTGATTGTGATTGCTGATTGCAGTGCTTTTTGAAAGTTACTTGCTCTTGATTTTTAAAACACATTTAACACAGACAGGTGGCATATTGACCCTTTTTTACTGCAGTCTGTGTGCAGGCAACGAATACAGATGAAAACAAACGTCCTTGTGCTTCACACTAAATTACAATTAGAACACAAACCAAGGTCTCAACAATACACAATATTTCAGCAAGGTTGACAACAGTAAATATGGCCACTTAGAAGAATGCAGAGTAATGAGAGTCTCAGAAAGAGGACCAAAATAGAAAAATCGAAGCACACTTAATACTGCATTTCAGTACTGTGTCAAGGCAACATTTGACTTTCCGATTTAGTGTACTTGGATTTTCGTCTCCAGTACGCAGATTTAAGGCACTACTGTGATTTTGCTAGTTGTGCCTCATTAGTGCAATTCTATTCAGATACAAATCACACAGAGGATGACTGGTCAAACGTTTTGCCACAGATGCATTCAACAGGACTTCTATACCAACATTCCCTACAAAACTCACGTCCACAATATCTGCACAGAACCAGAGGATTTCTGGAACTCGCCCTCCCACAGGGGCACACTCCCAGTCGCTTGGTCTTGTGGTGACCTTGGCAGAAGTCTATCTCTTTGCAGGACCCAGAGTGGAAGACACCGCAGCTGAGACAAAGGACCTGAGGGTCTGGCGGGCTGAGGTCGCAGCAGACGTGGTAGGCGTATGGATGACGAGATGGAAGTAGTGATACAGGGTCATCACACAGAACTAATGAGGACATTGCTGCACTGCTGCTGCTGAGAGTTGTCGACAAACTCATACCACTTACTCTGAGGCTTCCACCCTGCGGTGACGCTGCTCTCAGTTCTTCCCTCTCTTCTCTTGTACTGTCAGGAGATACCACATGGTGGCTCTCTGTGGAGTAACACTCATGGGAGGCACAGGCGATATCGTGCACAGTGTTGCATTGAAGACAGAGTTTAAGACTAACATTAGGAGATCGGAGACAACTGCAAGAGTAGTCTGGTTCATCTTTGCTCCTGCAACACCCTACTGCTTCTACCTGCAGACTGCGTGACGGTGAGTCCGCTTTGTCAAACGTCAAGTCTTCACTGGGACGTTTGCGTTGCTTGGTGCTGGCGGAGGAGCTTCTGGTAGTGTCTGAATCCAGCGGTGAAGTCTTGGTCAGCTGGCAGTTGAGTGTAGAGATGCAGATGTCCTCTCTGGCAGACAGGGAGGAGGACAACGAAGAGACTCCGTTGCCGTGTGATTTGACTGGGGGTGATGCACTGCTTTGAGTCACCCAGGTTAAAGAGCGGGGACTCTCATCATTGACAACCGCCTCCCTTGGCACCCCATTAACCTGCTCATCTGTGTACAGATCCACTTCATCAAACGGCTCTGTCAGAGGCTGGTTGACCTCCAGCGTCTTCTTGGTGTTCTCCAGGGCAACCTGTGGAGATACACGGACGAATAAATCCTCAACAGTTTAAATTTATTTACACAAGGGTTATATCTAGTTGATGTTTCGGTGATGACTGACTGGTACGTGTCCATAGAAGTGAGGATGTAAAACTGTCAAGTACTGAAAGATGGCAGTAAGTGTTGGAGTATTTCAAACAACACCCAGTGGCCCTCCACTAACAAGTTCTACCAATCCCTGTGAATTCTGCACAACCTCACAATTTTGTCCAATCACCAGTTTCACCAACATTATTTAGTTTAGTTTAGGTATTTAGGTATATATTTTTTTTGTATGCATGTATGTTTTGGTATCAACAGTAAATGTGAAATAAGTGAATAACAATCATTGACAGGATAGGACATGAATGGGATGACTGACCCAATCTCCCCTAAAGAAATACATGCTGTCTGAGTGGGGCTTTAACCTCTTCAAACCCAGTTTTCCCCTCAAATTTTCCCTTAATTATCTAAGGTGGTTGCAGAAGAGGAAAGCATGCCCTCTCCACAAAAGACGTGACAGATTCTGCATTTTAAAATACAGACCTCACCCATGGTTGAATGATTGGTAGACATACCTGTAGGCTGTTTCCTCTCTGCCTCTCCCTCACTACACTCAGCTCCCACTGCACCTCACCAGCGTGCTTCCCCAGAGCTGTCAGTAGCAGGCGACACTCGCAGCGGGCAAGGAAGAAGGCACATGACAAGCGGAGGAGGTCGTCCAGGGCGGCTGGACTGACTCTGGGCGACTGGAGACGGAGCTGCTCACGCCGAGGTGAGCTGGGCTGGTACCCCAGCAGGCCGAAAAGTTTCTCAATCTGTGGCATCGACAGCACCGGTTTGATGTAGTGGGTGAACATACCGGAGTACATCTGGGACACAAGAGAGAAGAGGATGAAAACAAACAAATCAATAACGGGGAAATATATCAGGTTTTCACCAATATCATATTTAAATCAGAAATCTGATGAAAGACATTATTCCAGCTTTTTTAGCCAACCTTGACAACTTTGTACTCCTCCCGCCAGGGACCCAGGTAGAGGTTCAAGGCAGCTTGCTCCATGACCTCGAAAGCTTTGGCCAGGCCTCGAAGCCCTCCTCTGGCTTTGACCCTCCCAACGTTGGCTGCTGCTGCTGCTGCTGCTGCTGCTTTGAGAGACTCCTCCATCACCTTCAGTGGATCCAGACCCAGGCAGTGTGTCTCCTGAGCATCCCGGTCCCTCAGCAGCACCTCCACCTGCTTCCACAGCTCCTCATCTGTACACACCAGATTGGAGCCTCGTCCCACAATTTGCTGCTCCAAACTGTGATCGTAGGCGGTCACTAGATCTCCGTCAATCTGCATGGAGGTGCTCATCTCTTTCATTCAGCTGAGAGGGAGACAAATAGGATGTTGAAATGAAGGATGAAACTATGGCACTTGTTCTCCTCTGATAATAAATATACTGTATGTACAGTGGTATATAGATACCACAGACTCATGGTATGAAAATTGACAGTTATGATACCATGTACATTGGCTCATCCACGATACTGAATTCAACTGTATTAATGTTATTTAGAAAAATACTGATTACTATATAAATCTTATAAAAATATCAAATTATATTTTATGAATGACAATGTAACTGTATTTTATAAACAAATAACACATTTTACTGTATTAATGTTTTAAGTCAATATTTTGTCTCTTATTATAATTACAGAACTTTTTTTCCCCTCTCACATTGGCAGAAATGGGCTTCCATACATCCAGTCAGATTTGTATGTACAAAATATCCAGACCACCTTCCAGCAAACATAGGAGCAATACAACTTTCCTAAAACTACTAGATGTACTACACAAGCTGAGGGAACTAGAAACTCTGACAATATAACATATGAAAACGCTTAGAACCAGCCCTCAGTCCCACATTACTCCTGTTCTTGCATCCCTTCATTGGCTTCCTGTAAAATTCAGAATCAACTATAAGATCTTACTGATTACATATAAGGGGACCTTGCCCCCAGTTACAGTTCAGATCTCCGTGGTGACCGTGCCTTTGCTGTTTCAGCCCCAACATTGTGGAATAGTCTTCCCCATTCACTCAGATTCACTGAATCTGTGGACTGTTTCAAGTGGCTCCTCAAAACCAACCTCTATAGGTATATATTCTATTATCTTCCATATGTCTGTATTTATATGTCCCCTATGTATTGGGAATGTTTATGTATGTAAACATGTTTATGTATGCATATGTATAAATACATATATATATATATATAATAATAAAAATATATATAATAACTATTAAACACACCTATACGTGTTTATATGTATGCGTTTGTTTGTGAACTGCGTGTGTTAAACAGTACTATATAAATAAAGCTTTACTGTGTGCGCTATGATTTGTTTCGACTGTAAACACGATTATATTTATAACAGAAAGTGAAACTTGTGATATCTTGGCCTGAGTGAAACACAACAAGAATGTAACGTTAAAAGGTAAAATACTTTTGTAATGAGTACACTAATGTGTTGACCAGCGTCGTTATAACACGAAGTTCGTCACAAACTGGCCGTTAATGTTTGACATCATCAGCCAAAGAAACTACTAACTTAAGTTTGACGTTAGCATTAACGTTAGCTTAACCCGTTGACCCAGTGACTAACAGCTAGCTAGTTTTGCTAGGCTGTTACCTACCTGTTACTGTTTCTCTTTTATGGCGAGGACTTCACGACAAAATGAGCACAAATATCTGCTAGCTAATTCTAAACTATCTAAAGAATTTGTCCAAAACTTTTCAGAAACGTGGGTTTAATTCGGTTCGGTTAATATACAATCCACCAACGCAGAGTCCAACTTCTAGAGTTGGGCCACATTGCTCTCCACCGCCGACCACAGTGGGGAAGGAAGTAACAGCAAACTGCCTCAGAAAAGTTCACATTTAGAAGATGATGCGAAGGCTCATGTTGTTTTCCACATGCGCCGATTTAAAGGGTGACTCTCACAGATTTAAAGAACGCTGTACTTAGGGTTTTAGAATGTATAATCTTTTGCAGATACGCAAATAAATATTAAATGACCAGAATTCTGAATGGTGCAACAGAAAAGTGCTGGTGTTGGAGCTAGGTAGCTGGTAGCTGGTAGCTGCAGCAGAAAGTTGGACACACAAAGACTCACCTGTGTCTGCCACTCGTTCAGGTGTTTATTAATGGGTCGTGTGAAACATTTCCGGCCACACAGCCGTCCCCGTGCAGCTGGTAGCTTCTTCTTGATTGTCCAGGATAACGTAAACATTGTCACGTGGCACGGGTTTTCCCAGCCTCAGACGGGGTGCGCGCGGTATGAGTATCAGGACGGGCCGGAGAAGCGGAGTTCTGCGGAGGATAGATGGCTTTAAAGTCAATATATCGGATCTAAACTACACTGAGAGCTCGATATATTGAAAACAGACCGAAGGTAGACAAGGTGTTATGAAATTAGCGGATAAAAATAACAAGAGTTGGTTTATACCCAGCATATTGTCAAACGCGTATCATCCACTAGATGGCAGCATTTAATGTTTTTAAACGCCCTTCTCCATCAGCCTCTACGTGAACTTGTAGTTATTGTCAGTTTTAATCTTCGAGAAAACACACATACACACATACACAGTGCTGGGGTGAAGACAGCGGTGAGCCTTTTACTGACCCGCGGGCGTGGCTTCTGTGACACTGGTAGAAGGGCGGAACTGTGGCCCCTGAGTTTAATTTAAAGCATCCTGGGATGACCAAGATCCTCTGCACAAGTCAGCAGCTTCACTTCCAGCGGACTCAGTCGTGTCATCCTCCATCCTTCAGCAGGTCTGGGCAGCTGCAGCCAGCATGTCAAACTCGGACAGGGTTGTGTTAGCTCTAGGAGGAGCGGGGACAGTGGGCTCTGGGATAGTTAAAGCACTGCTGGACAAAGGTAAGCCGCCCAGGGGCCTCTTGGGGACAAGAAGTGAAGCCAATATATTCTTTGAAGCAGGAAAGATATTTTCTGTAAACTCTGATGACTGTGGATACAGTTTTACGCACAAGGGTCGGATTTTACGCAGTGGAATTCCATAGAAATAAACTGCAGAATAGACATTTATGACTAGTTTATGTCCATTTAGTACTTTCTGAGTATTTTCTGGTTTAGAATTGTTAAATGACTGGTTATCAATCCGATGTTAATGGAGCGTCTGCATGCATTAAGTCTATCAATTTTCGCGCTTATCTCCATGTGCGTAATTCATCCATTCATTCATCCGATAACCAGCTATTCGGCCTAAAACGTACAACACTGTACATTCGGGTGCGTAATCTTCCGATTGGTTTCCATGCGTGTCAGAAAACATTCATCAACATCCAACAATTGTTCACACAATGTTTTTCTGCCATTCCTTACAGGAATTGATGTAAGCACTAGTTTCAGACTCTACACTATAATTCTTCTTCTATCTTATAAATTGATATTTTATGGTTGGAGGTAGTTGAGTGTGAAATTACATTGAATCTTTGAGTTTTGGTGCTGTTTCTGTTCAAGAGTTATTTGGGTTACTGTGCTCTGTCTGCACGCTGTGATGAGAGTGCACTGGCTTTGGATTGACAATGCATGTCCATAGCTTTTCTGTTTGAATTGAGCAGAAAGTTACCATCTGCTGCTCTGTTACATTTATCCTTCTGATGACCTTGATAAACAGATTAGGATAAATGATTCATTTTCATGTGAGAGGGATTAGTCCTACTGTGTTTGTGTTGTGTTTTTGTCTGTCTGCACTATAGATTAATATATCTGACGTGTGTGTGAAGGTTTCAAAGTTGCAGTGATCTCCAGGGACAGCAGCCGGCTGGAGAGACTGCGATCATTCGTCTCTTCCACCACAAAGGATAACCTCACCACTATTGTGGGGAATGTGGGTAAGTCGGGTTACACATCCTTCCATTCATCTACATAGCAGTCTGTCATCCATCCATCTGTCTGAACACACCACATGTGCGGTCCCTCCTGTGGGTGGAGTGGGCATGGGACAATATGACAATTTCATGTGATTATCCTGGATAAAATAATGTGATTCATGATATCATGATAATCACCAAAATATACTTTTTAAATCTTTGTTTGTTACACACAAAACAGATGATAGCAGACTCTCCAAAAGGCATGGTGGTCTGTATCAAATTCCATCCATTCAATAATTGTTGAGACATTTTAAAACCTAACCAACCAAACCAACGAAGGCATAGAACACTTGCCAGTCAGAGGCAGGGTAGGGCAGGTGTTAGGCAGGTGTTTAGGGGTGTGTATATAGACTCATCAGGAGTGGGCGGTATGCAATAAGAAGTAAGGTCTGAAGTCTACTGTGCATCTATTGTGGGGTCTTTGACATGAAAAAGTTTGGGAACTCCTGGTCTAGGACAGCGATTCCCAAACAAGGGTATTTCTCCAGTGGGGTACATGAAAAGATTGTGGAGTACTCAGTTCATTAAAAAGGTGCGTGAAAACCTAGCAAGATAGTTATCTAAAAGTAATGGATAACTGGCTAACCCTTACCCTGACAAATAAATGGTTGAAATAGCCAAGAGTAATGGATAAAAAGTTGAAAAAGTAAGCTAAAAATTGATAAATGGTTAAAACATCCAGCTTGTGCCACAACTAGTACAAATTCAAAGTTAAACAAACTCAAACACTGACAGTTCCACATCCAGTTTAAAATCAATTCAGATGAACATGATTGGAGGTGTTGATGAAGAGGTACTTGAGTTCATCCATCAGGACTGCGGGGTGGAGGCAGTGGTCTCAGAACTGTTAGAGGCAAAGAATTTTATGGCAATTTGCACTTCAGATATGGAGATATTTCACTGAGTGAATGGAAATTTTGACCTGCTGATGCAGCTAAATGGAAAGTCAGGGGACCACAAATATTTGTTAAAAAATGTCAGCTTGGATCAAAATGCTGGACCGACTTTCATAGAAAGCTGCTTCAAGCAAAAACTCACTATCAGCCTTTTTAGTAGTCTAACCACAGTCACACATATCGGTCTAAAATGCTGTTCTGAAGACCTTACTCCCCCTGAAGGACATTATCAGTTGGACCTGAATCCTTCTTTCTGTTCCAGGGTCAGAGGAGGGAGCAGAGCAGGCAAAGCAGGCCCTGCTGAAGGCGGTGGGGAAGGTGACGGACATCGTCTCCTCTCTGGGCTTCAGCTGGTGGCAGGGGGGACCACCACACACCCAGACTCTCAAAGACCTACACTGGGTGAGCACACACACACATAAACCAGCTGATTTTAAGTTTTCATTGCATTCAAGTGAGCCTATATACAATTGATTGCTTTTAATGGGTATACTGGTGGATACTGGTGGCAGTAAAAGTAGTCGTAAGACAAGTCTCAGCAGAAGTTGTGGTAAAGCTGTTCTGGAGAACTCTCCTATAACATCATGTCTGAATGTTGCTTCTCCTGCGTTACGAGAAGGAAATTCAAATTCCTGTCTGATTATTTAATCTCCTGTCAACTCTCCAGGTAATTGAGACACTACTCTTCAGCACATTTGTGTCATGGAAGGCCTTCTTCCCCTTGGTGAGGGACGACTCCAGCTGCACCTACACCTTCATAACAGGTGACTCCTACAGCCATTCATTTCTACTAATGGCACCGCCTCTGTCAGATGTACGTGACATGGTGGAGGAGTTGCTTGTCTGCATATGAGAAACACTGAGAGAACCAAACGGAAAAGCTGTTTTTTCTACATACGAAAGAAAAAGGTTAATGCAATAGTTCAAGCCAGTGTACTTCAGGCTTGTACTAATAGTAAGCAGGAAGCATGATTTGTTAATTAGACATGAGGACCGTATTGGATTATTATTATTATTTCACGCACTGAATCCTATGGTCCTATGATTTCAATATTAACTTAATTAAGTTAATCAGAATCAAAATAGTAAAGTTGAGTGCTGAATGCTAAACAGTTATGAGTTTTTTTCATAGTCAAGAACGAGGATTGCTTTGCTTGATTTGGGTCTACAGTCACCTCAACCACAACTCGATGTGTCTGTATATTTTTACGCCTTCTTTTGTTCTGTGCCACAGGAGGAGCAGGCGAGAAGCTGCTGATGCCTGGTACAGGCTTCCTGACAGTAGGAGCTGCCAGCACTCTGGCCTTCTGCCAGGTACTACGAGAGGAGTACCCCGAGGTGCCCTGCAAACTCAACCAGGTGAGACTTTAATGGGATTACACTATAAGACTTCAGGTAACAAAGCAATGAATCTGATATTTGACTGTTACCTGACCTCAGTCTCATAGCCTCAGACCTGTTCGTTTAGTTCCCCCTGAGCTCAGTGTGAGATTATAAAAGAAATCCTACAGTTTGTGGCAAGATCCTGTTTTTTCACATAGAGCAGCCAGAGGCTTTAAATAGAAAATTCTTTGTTTAACATAATTGATATGTATAAGTTATCACTTTGATATGCTACATGCCGCATTACAACTAAAACAAACTTCTCTTTTCACATAACGCAAGTTGAAAGGAGAAGTCTGAAAGTCTAAGTGAAATTAAATTGCATTTTTGTCTGTTACAGCATACATATCTGCTCTGTAAATCTGTCAATGTCTTGTGTTCTTGTGTTGTCAATCTTTGAGAAATGTATCTTTTATATTTTTTGGTTTCATAATGGCGCCCCCCTAGTTTTCCATTCATTTGACGGAATACTTTTTCGATAGCTGTCGGCTGAGACAAAAAAGAGCATTTCCCTAATGACCCTTTTAAGGGTCAGTGTGTAGGATTTAGTGGCATATAGTTGCAAATTGCAACTCCCTCAATTCACCCTACCCATACAAGTGCAAAGGAGAAATTACACTGGCTGTGAAACTTGCAAAGCTTGTGAAAAAACAGAAAAGCAATAGCCCTATCTAGCCAGGACACTTTTCGAATAGAGCATACTACTTAAAACATTATTTACAGAGACCCAACAGTTCCCACCATGAGCAAGCACTTGGCGACGGCGGCAAGGAAAACTTCCTTTTAAGAGGCAGAAACCTAGGACTGACCCGTCGGCTCTAGGTGGGTGGCCATCTGCCTCGACCAGTTGGGGTTAGAGAGAGTAAGGGGGGGGAGACAAAGACACAAGAACAACAACTATACTAATAGAAATGACTGATGATGATGATGATGATGATGATGATGATGATGCGAAAACAGCCACAACGATGGGGGCCGGTGGACAATAATAATAGTAACTATAATAACAATAGTAATAATAATAATAACACTAATATCAGTGATATTAGCAGTGGGGGTCAAGCAGGACCATGGCAGGAGGCTCCACCAGGATCCATGACAACCTGCGAGACGAGAAAGCACAAGAACTCCAGGGAAGAAGAGAAGATAGTAACATGCATAAATGGAACATGAATGAGTGCAGAAAGAGAGAGAGAAGAAGAGAGGAGCTCAGTGCATCATGGGAAATCCCCTGCCAGTCTAGGCCTATAGCAGCTTACCTAAGGGATGGTTCAGGACTCACCTGATCCAGCCCTAACTATAAGCTTTATCAAAGAGGAATGTCTTAAGCCTACTCTTGAATGTGGAGAGGGTGTCTGCCTCCAGAACCACAACTGGAAGCTGGTTCCACAGGAGAGGAGCTTGGTAACTGAAGGCTCTGGCTGTCTGTTCTGGGCTACTGTAGAAACATGGCCGTTTAACATGGTGGACTCCATAGCTCTGGCGATAGATCCTCCTAAATGTTACACACTGGACCTTGTGCAAACATCACATCATGTTTTCTGAGCAGAGGTCAGTCACAACAAATGAACTGATAAAGAACCATTTACTTCTTCTCCAACCCCATGGTGTACTTCATTCGTCCATTCAATCATCTCATTTATATCCTTTGTGTCATTCTGTCCCTTGGCTTCCTTGCTTCTCCTTGTGTCCTACCCCTGTCTTCATCTCTGCCTTCCTTCATTGATTGGTCCTGACAGGTGAAGATCAACACAGGTGTAGGCACTCCAGAGCGCATGGCACCTGGTTACCTGAACCACCTGGACCTGGGCGAGGCTGTTTCCACCCTTGTGGAGAAACGAAACACCTCCCACACCGTCTTCACCGTCAACTGCCCTGCAGACTTAAAAACTGTCCTTCTGGAGAGGAACCTTTAGACTTGGAAAACCGTCCTCCAGCCCTACCTTGTTGTCACAGGGACACATCTATACTTCTTCTGCACCCACTCTTACCGATCACTGCAGAAACACATTTACAGTGTCTTTGGTTCATTTCTTTTCTTCTCCCACAAGTCTGAACCCCATCCATGCACAGCTTTATGTGAGTTGGCTGTTGTTTCAACAAATACTGTATATTCTGCTGCCTATTCTCTGATTGTTAGCAACTGTATACCCTGCATGTGCTGTTGTGTGATATGCCTGTAAAAAACACAGAGGATTTGTAATACTCACCTTCTCATTGTTGCCTACTTCTGTACAAATATTATCACACAGTTATGTTCTGTCTTCATCGTTGGAAGACCTGATATCTAATATAACACCACCGTTGTCCATGGATCTGCTAAATATAGTTGGTATAAAGCTAAACCTCTTAAGGCCAAACCATTGGACTGAGCAAGAAAAGACAACTTCATAAGGTACCTTTAACATCTTGACCTAAAGTTTAAAAGTACATCATGGTTGAAGAGTAGAGGTACTACAGCTCTTACCTTTGACCAACGAGTTGAGATATTTAGGACCTGATAGGGAATGTTATATACCAATCAGCCATAACATTCTGCCCACTGACATGTGAATCTGGTTATCATGGCACCTGTCAGTGGGTGGGATATATTAGGCAGCAAGTGAACATTTTGCGTGAGGATAGGAGCGACTTTGACAAGGGCCACATTGTGATGGCTAGATGACTGGGTCAGAGCATCTCCAAACCTGCAGCTCTTGTGGGGTGTTCCCAGTCTCCAGTGGTCAGTACCTCAAAAGTTCTCCAAGAAAGGTAAAGCGGTGAACCGGAGACAAGGTCCAGGCTCATTGATGTACGTGGGGAGTGAAGGCTGGCCCGTGTGGTCCGATCCAACAGACGAGCTACTGTAGCTCAAACTGCTGAAACAGTTAATGCTGGTTCTGATAGCAAGGTGTCAGAACACACAGTGCATCAGTTTGTTGTTATGGGGCTGCATAACATTCTGACCACTTGGGTCAGAATGTTAACCAAGTTTGCTTGGTAGGATTATGAAAATGTCAAAGCCTTACTGATTATGGACACAAAGGTTACACAGCATGGTTTGGCCCATTTTGCCCTCTTTGTAGATTAAGTCAAAATTTGTTTTTCTTTCAAATACCAATAAATAAGATATGTTCTATATCATTTATCCAGTGTGTTCATTGCAGTGTTTGCAAGGTAAATTTGTCTTTTTAACTAAGTCAAAGACATGGTTAATTGTCAATACGGGGACGTTACAGCACTCAAACGAAATTAATGCAAATAATACAAAGCAAGTAGGTTGATCTCTGGGGCAGGGCGGGACACATTTACATCCCCCTAGCGTGACCCGTTCACAAGCACCAACATCAACCCCCTATAGGCCCCTTAATGTGCATCCTGTTATTTAGGGCAGCATGTCCCTTAGATAAACTGAACAGGAGTTTGGAGGCCCCAGCAGACTGCATTATCAGAGGGGGCTTTGTTGTCTTGTATATTGTCCTGTTAATGCGTACATGCTTTCATAACGTTGATATAAAATTGTTATGCCAAAGAAGATGCCTGCCCTGAAGATTTGGACTACATTTCCCTAGGAACAAGCATAAGTGAGATTGGACAAGAGTGGGAAAAGCAAGAGTAGTGGGGGGTTACAATTTCTGCTTTGGGCTCACAGCTCAATTAGGCCAAATTATAATTAAACCTCAAGGGAAACCCACTGGGCCCCACTTTCTCTTCCTCTTCATCTCCTCCCATTCTCCCTGCCTGAAAAGGATACAAACGGTCAAACATACCCACACAAACGGCCATGTTCACCCTCTGACGATGACTCATCTCATTCTAATAGGAAAAGAAAACAGGCTTTTGTTTAAGGGGACACAGCCTTCCAAATGAGACTCAACAGACCTAGGATCAGTCAGAACAGAAATGTGGGTGAGAGCAGTGACTAAATTATGCTTTTTGCTAGCAGCATGGATCTAAAGATGGCAATGTCAGTCTGTCAACCACTTTACCTGAAATACCTTGTGTATTAGTTTTTGTATGACCTCAAACTTGAATGTATTAAGCGTATAAATAGCCTCTAAAATCACGATATCTGAATGAAAATGGGTTCCGTGGGAACACACAGACCACTTCATGCTACTCTCATGCAGTTTTGGGCAAAAAATATTTTTTTTGCCTGTGGTACATATTTTTGCCTGGTGTATTTGAATATTTCTGCATACTGGGGTATGTTATTGCATAAATTTGGAATGACTGGAAAGCTGAGGCACATAGTTCATGCCATCCCTGCATAAGTCAGTGCCCCATGTGCGCCACCCCAGTTAAAAAAGTCTGGAAATGCGTATTGCATATTGTTGATGTTTTTAGCATTTTGAGCATTTAGCTCAAAGCACTGCTTCACCTAGGAACAGCCTTACAGAACCGCTAGCAAGCCTTCTTTAAGCTACGAGTGACGCATTGTAAGGTTTAGTCTACCAATCTAGGACCAAAAACAACTTGCTGACACTCAAGCCTTGTGGTGAACCAACCAAGAACATGCAATTCACTTTGGATGGATCCCATATTTAATTTTAGAAATGAGAGGAGTGGTATGCAGCATTAAGATCATCAGTAACTCTAGGCTAATTGCATGGACGTAGCTCAGAGTGAATGCATTTATGCTGATACAGTGATTGAATATACAGGAGGTGACAAGCAATGGGGGGTATATGGATGGTTCAGTCCTGCCCTGTTCCTGATAAAAACACGGAGGTGATGGCAGTGAAGGAGAAAGAGAAGTTCAGTTCAGTTGGGATGTGGGTGTCAAATTGTCCCTCTGCTTGTGATTAAAAACTGGAGTGGTTGAGAAACGAGGGATTCCAATTTTAAACCAGACAAAAAACAAGCCATTATCTTGGCAGCATCTGCCTTTGGTGAGATTAGCGAGACCTCACCAAGGCAGTGTTAAAGCTTTCAGTTTTTGGGAAAACCAACACACCACATATTGATTTGCCAGGCGACACAGTCACACAGGCTGACTGACAGACTGTAGTTGGGGCAGCTATAAAGGCAGAAATGTGTGTGTGTGTGTGTGTGTGTGTGTGTGTGTGTGTGTGTGTGTGTGCGTGCGTGCGTGCGTGCGTGCGTGCGTGCGTGTGTGTTGTCCCCAGTGAGATATCATCTTTCCCTCGCATGGAGAGTCAATAGGAGTTGTAGCATTGTGAGAAAGGGGACAGAATGCTCAACAAATCAATCTATTCAAAAACAGCTGCCTGCATCCTTGTTGCTTTGGAAATGATTGATATAGGCTTACACACTCCAGAGGCTTGTGTCATATCAGCGGCCAGCTTTGAGGTTTAGGGTCAGAACTCTCAAGTCACGCTATATCCGCCAGGGTGTGTCCCACCACACCAACAGTACACACAATCACTGACACTGCAGTAAAACACTCTTGTAAACACAGATGTATGCCAGCATGTCACACAGAGTAACTCAATTATGAACTAATTGGTTCAGAATGTGGTTTTGTAAAGGGGGCCAAAGTGTGACAGCAGGATGAGAGAACATTTTACCATAGTGGCCGTGATTGGAGTAGGACAAGAGGAGCTTTTTACCATGATGCAAATTTCCACCAGGACAGGAAAGTTAAGCATAATTTGTGATGTCACAGGTTATGCTCATAGACCCTGTCCCTTAAAACAACTTTAATCAGATGAATGTGAAAACATCCTTCAAGTGGGAACTGTTGGGTCTCTGTACATAATGTTATAAGGAGTACTTTCTAGACCTGCTCTATTTGAAAAGTGTCCTGAGATAACTTCTGTTATAATTTGGCGCTATACAAATAAAACTGAATTGAATTGAAATTGAATAGTGTCAAACTCACACATACATCATTCAAACAGGACACTGTAGGAACAAGAAACTCTGGTGTTTTAATAGAGGTGGACTTTAAGGTGTAGGAGCTTTAGTAGAGTAGATGTGAAATATATAAAAAAAATTGCGAAATCCCTTATCGTTATTAATTGTTTACCTCTTTTGTTAGATTCTACCTAATTTTGTGATAGAAATCCTTTTACAGTTACCATTACCATTAGCAGATTTAAACCTTCTCTCAACAGTGTTTCAAAAGCGTCTAAGGAACAGTTTTTTTTAACATAATCTTAAGATCATATAGGTCTTTTTTACTGAAGACATTTGCCATATGACAGCTGGAAAAGCACAGGCAAAAATAATAAGATCAATGATGGCTGAATTCCATTTAGCTGCTTCATTTTCAGGGTCCTGGTGCTGTTCATGCTGGCTCATTTTCATTGTCATGGTTTATGGGACACTTCATACTTGATAAGTCCACGTGAAATGAAAAACTAATGTTTAACCCTTCAAGATTGCATCCTCAGTAATACTGTACCCCTATTTAACAATGTGCCAAAGAAGTTACAAAAACATTTCTTTGTACTTTTTTCTCACACAGCGCTATTGGCTACAGCAACAAGTCCCTCCCCATCTGCCAGGTTTTACAGGAAATACATAAATATGCAGAAGCAAATAGCACTCTGATGTCGTGTGGCTCTGCAGTGAACCCCACTTCTTGCCCCTGAAGAAATGGAGAGTACTAAAACGAAGAAATAATTGAGCAAATTTCAGACATCCTGGAAAGAATAACTGTTTTAAAAGAGGGGCCTGCATTTAATAAAATCTGCTGCACTGATTTTTTCCCCTCAAATCCAAAAATTTCAGCAATTTCAATTTCAATATGTAAGTGTGATGTTTCAATATTCTAATATAACTGAAACTGCACTGCATGCTGGTTGTTTAAACCTGAAGCACAGGGCGATGACCCCGCTGACCCAGAATGGACCCAAGGAACTCTGAAACTGCGGTTCAGTTGGTATTGGGGGGGGGACAAGGGAAGTGAACCAGAAAGGGACAAAAAGAACACACAGCGAGACAGAAAAAGAACACTGATGGAGAGAAAGAGCAAGAGAATGCAAGCAAGAGGAGGATGGCATGCTGGGTGCGGCTGTGGCTTCTGGTGGTGTTCTGACTGATTCACAGTGGCATGTTGTTTTTTCTTCTGCTGCTTTTCAGCCATGTGCCCATCACAGCCTCCTGCATCATCCAGCCACCATCCCCACGCTGACACCCTCACAACTGACAGCCCAATAAAAAAAGAAAAACATCACATCAGTTCCTGTTAGTATTGGATGTCAGGAGGCAGGGACTGTTTTTTGAAAATTGTTTGTATCTGCTGTACATTTGCTGGTAAATTAGTCCACATTGATTCTCTCCTTCCCTCAGTAAAGAGCAGACAGCCTATGTGATTTCCCATAGTTTGAAGTGCCACTGTAAAGTGGTCATTTTCTGTTTCTGAGGCTCAGACCCATTCGCCTTATCCACAGGTGACATTTTTACTTGCCTGGAAAAGCACAGATGTGCTTAAAACATGGGACGAAGAGGGGAGAAATCCAGCTTGTGGACAAACATGGAAGATGGGAAGGAACTAGATGTCGAGACTGAATGGCGGCGGCGTCTCCTCGTTAGCTCTAATTAGGTTAGTGGATCCTCTTTCCAAACTAGAGAGTGCTTAAGTTTTTTCGTGCAGGAATGGATTGAGCTCAATGCGTGGTGTCTGTTCCCGAACCTACAGTAGTTATATAACTTCATTTAACAATGCTCCAATTCCACTATAGTGACTCTTTTAAGGTCTACAGGGTAGGATTTAGTGTCATTTAGTGTTGTGTTGAGTTTCCAATAACCTGGATGTTCTCTTCTAAAATCATATTTGCATCGATATTTTTCAGTATAAATGTAAGAGAGTGAGCCATTTGTGTCTGAAAATGACTATGGGGGTTCAACTGCCAATAAGCTGCCCTTTAGCAGGTTTGGGTTAAAGGACATTCAAGTTCCAGATTCCTTTAAACTAGCTTTGAAGAACCCCAAAAAATCCAGACTCATGTCAAATTGTTGTTACGTCACATTGAGCAAGGCCAGGTACCTCACCCCCTTTTCCAATGGCGTGAACCTAGTTCTAGTTCTGGGTATTGGGTCTGAGTTGGTTCAACTCAAGAAAATCTAAAAGAACCAGTTTGCTTTTCCATAGGCTAATGAGCCACCATAACCACTGTGTACAACTCCAATGTTACAGTTACCAAAGTTAAGCTAGCTCGCTAACTAGCT